GGCCTGCTGTGTTCATCCAGCTGTGCAACTTGTTGTCTCGGATCCTCCAGCATCTGCAGATCCTACTATCTCTGATTCAATTTTAACCCTTTTTCACTTCCTGGTTAAGAGTTATTTTTCTTTTCTGTCCCACTTAATCTGCCTCCTTATACCAAAGTCTCGAAGGTGGGAAAATGCAGCCAACATGCCTGCTGCCCTAAATTTCGTCCCTTCCTTGAAAAGAAGACACCATCTTGTTGCCAAGGACAGTAATAGGTGCCATCCTGTGGGTGAGTTTGCCAGCCCTGTGCCAATCCTATCATGTTTAGAGTTGAAATATCAGGTAGTTAGGAATTGCTTCTTTCAGTTCAGCCATTGATTGTACTGAGACCAATGTACTAGCTTAAAACAAGCATATTTCACACGATTTGTTAGTATCAGTGGACCTCATGTTGTGTTACTGCAAGTCAGATGCCTTGTAGTTTAAAATGAATAGGAACATTATATCATTCACTTGTACTTAGGAAGCAGTGGGAAACAAGAAAGTGTTTCCTGTGCTTAAGAAGTTTCTCTGCAGATTGGAAATCTTGGGTTTTAAGGCTGTTTGCTGCCACTGCAACAGCAGAGGCACACCACTCATGCAGCCACAGACCCTGTGATGTCACTGCCAGTTGCCTGCATCAAAGAATAATGTTTTGAATGCCTGTTGTTTGCTGCCAGACTCCCAACGCCTGCCTCACTTGTTATGCAGCTCGCCACTCTGCTTATCTCCCACTTGCTGCCTTTCTTGCTGCACCTCTCTTTGCCCTGCTCCCAACTCTTGAAACTTCGCTGCCTCACTTGCTGCCCCACTCCCTGAACAAATCATTGAGCCAGGCAACATTACAGACAATGAATGAAGCAGAGAGCAGCATGGAGTTGGGAGGCAACATCAATGAATACACAATGATCATATCAATGATGCCAATTTTCTATTCGACTGAGTTGGCAGAAGGAAATGTTACTTAAATTTGATACTGAAACATACATGTGTGATATCTGAATGGACATGTTTCAAACATTTTATACTCTAGGTTTATATTGATGGGGTGAATGCCCAAGAGAGGCAGGTTAATACTGAGAAGTAGAACACCTCTAGCTTTGTTTGTGATTTGTAGGCACTTGTTTCTGAAATGCTCTTCAGCCTTGGTGAAGGTTAAGGTACAGCTCACAGTGATGGTGCATTGTCCACTACTTTCAACCCAAAAAGCATTTCCTTCTGATGATATACATTTGTAACATCGATAGTTTCAGTGCCAAACCTCACCAGCCCATGGATAGTGGAGAAGTAAAACTTCCTACACCCAACAATTTGCCTTAATCACAGTGTAGAGTGCATCTATTCAAATAGAGGAAAATTTCTATTTCTGGTGTCCACCAGCCAACTTACTCAGTATTGTGGTGTTAATCGCTCAAAACCAGATCTGTTGGCCAGACCAGGTTGTTCATATGCCTAACACCAGATTTATAGAATCATCGAATCCTACAGCTTGGAAACAGACCCTTCAGTCCAACGGGTCCATGACGACAAAGTTTCCCAAGCTAAACTAGTCCCACTTGCCTGCATTTGGCCCTCTAAACATTTCCTATTCATGTATCTATCCAAATGATTAAAGGGCATTTACTACGATTGCCTTCATTGATTAGATCTTGAGTATACAAATTGAGACATCATGTTGAAGTTGTAAAGGACATGTTGAGACCACTTTTGGAGTACTGTGTACAGTTCTGGTCGCCCTGCTATAAAAAGGTTGTTATCAAATTGGAGGGCATTACCATTAATTTCTACAGCAAACACTCTACTCTGAACCCAGTCATGGCAGAAGAGTTATACAAGCACAGCACAAAGCAGTCAAGTATCCCTGCTGATTAATGAGAGACTGCAGTTTGTACCAAGCAAAATCAAGAAGGTTTATGCAGAAAAGCAAGAAACTCATCAAGAGACTTAATTTGGAGCACACAGAGACAAAATCAAGGTATCAGAGAGAAAGTACAATTCTCCAGACAACCTGTCCATCTAACCCTTCATGCACCACTTGCCCCACCCATAGCAGAGTCTGCACATGATGCATTGGTCTTAACAACCATCTCAGAATCCATGGAACTGGAGTAGAAGTAAGTTATCTTCAATCTCCAGGGTTTGCTGAAGAACAGAAAAAGAAGAATTTCTATTTCCTACATTAACCCATTTAGCGCTTGTCAGTCCAGCATTGGGCAGTGCTATGCTGACATCAATTCAGCTGAGAATGATTAACCTCCTATCTTTATTCCCACAGCCAGAGGACGGCGGTGTCTACACCTGCACAGCAGTGAGTGCAGCTGGCAAGGCCAGCCATGATATCCGCCTGTCCGTAAGTGTTCAACCAGCATTCACAGAACTCCCTGCAGATGTGTCTCTCCACAAAGGGGAAAGGCTTTTGCTGACATGTGCTGCAAAGGGCCTTCCAATTCCATTCATCAGCTGGAGCTTCAATAACAAACCTGTGGCAGGTATGTAAATGAACATAGATGTCATCCTATGTCATTTCCTGGAATTTATATTTTGCGGAAGAACCAGCATCATAGAAATTTACAAATTATTTGCAATCTGTCATTTTACCAGTTTACTCTGATACTTTATGCAAGGCACTGACTGTTTGGTTACTGTACTTCCTCATTCAAATACCTATTCTTCACAAAAGCCAGTACAAAGTGCAATAAGCTATTTTATCACAGAAGTATCACAGGTGTCTAAGTCCTCTCCTCACCTCTAGGTAATGTTTCCCAGTAGCAGTTTCTGGAAAACTAGCAATAAGCAGAATCCTGCCCAATTTCTCTAATCTTGCCCAATGACTGACAAGACTCAATACATCCCCACTCTTCCAAACTGTTAACCAGCTGCTGAGAATCAATAACTCAACACAAACTGGGAATCCAGTGTGTAACATCTTTTAATCATTTGTTTGAAACATTAGCAAAATGGTGATCACATAATTGCATGATTTGAATGTGTCATCGTGGAAATGGTGGACAACTTGTCTGGATTTCCCCAAAATATGCAAAAAGAAGCCAAGCAAAGTCTTGATTTCAAAATTCTCATCCTTGTTTTCAAATCTCTCCAAGACCTTGATTGTCCTTGTCTTTTTAATCTCCACCAGCCCCACAACCCTTCAAGATCACTGTGCTGACCTGATTCCAGCCTCTGGTGCAGCCTTATTTTAACTATTCTACCATTGGAGGGCATGCCTTCAGTTACCATGGCACTCAGTTCTGGAATTTCCTTCCTACATCCCTCCTCTCTCCTTTAAATTGCTCCTTAAAACCTACCTCTTTGAACAAGTTGTGTTCATTTGATCCAATATATCTTTATGTGGCTGCGGTATCAACTTTTGTTTTACTGTGAACCATCTCACGATATTTGACATATTAAACGTGCTATATAAATATGTCATTGATGACTCCCCAGGGGCTGATCAGTGCCTGGGAAACTATTTCATTATAAATGCCTTTAAATGAGGAAAATTGGGGTGGGGTGGTGTGGGGTGGGGGAAAATAAAATGCCCATCCATAAACACACATTTACAGACAGGTATTTCTGGGCCAGTTACTAGATGCTAGAGTGTGGTTTAATCCCAGTACTGGCTGAGGTAGCTCTTAGGTGCTGTCTTCTTGTCAATAGCAATGTCATGACATATTGAACGGAATGGTTTTGCTTTGTACTTTCATGATCTCTTTTGTCTTTATCGCATTGCTGAATCATACACTACTGTCATTATTTGCTGTAGGTGAAAGTATGAATGGAGCAACATAAATCCAAAATAAATGCATTCTAAGACTCCAAAGAGATCTCATTATTGAAAAGTGGAACTTGTCTCTCTTTTTCTATTAAAACTCTGGTATTTATTTGAGACATGCCCTTTAGAATTGTTGGGTTAAAGATCTGGTTTAGGTCAATGGCATTTCTCTGTTCAGATTATATTAAACAGGTTCATTGATAACAAGACTATTGTATCCCGTGTATTATGGCATACAGGAGAATTACTTTTTCATACAGACCTGGGCATTCATCCTGCTGTGATAACAGTTAAAGGTGACAGACAAATGCATGCCAGATCCACCAACACAACTAGTCAGGTTTTGTTGTAGTTTCTGTGGCAGTTTGCTGACATAAACTATTAAGTGCAGCATTGGGACAAAAGGAGGAAGTTCAGCCTCTTGGTCCTGCTTCACTATTCAATCAAATCATTGCTGATCTGTGTGTCATCTCATTTCCTAAACTTTTATCCATATACCCTGAAAGACTTACTTAACAAAACTCATCAATCTGAGTGAAAGCTTCAATTGTCCCACCATCCATTATGGCTTCTACCATTAGTATATGGAAGTGGAGACAGTGAGTGATTTCAGAAGGAAATTGGAAAGGTGCTTGAGAGAAATAAACTTACAGGACTATTAGCATGAGGAAATGGCACTGATTGAATTCATGCCAGGTCTCTGTACTGTAATCCAATGAGCTGAATTACCTCCTGCATTATTATGACTCTATAAAATACGTTCTGATATCCCTCATTTTACTATCTTAAAAGATCACTGCTTCCACCTCAGATGCTCGTAAGTAACAATACAAGATGCATTGGGGAACTCATGAAGATTTCTTCAACATCACCTTCCAAAGTTGCGACTTCTATCACCTAAAAGCACAAGGGGCACAGATCATTGGGAACACCACCATTTGCAAATTCCCCTCTAAGCCACATACATTCTTGATGTGTAACTGTATTCTTGTTCTGTCATTGTCACAGGATCAATCCTAGAACTCCTTCCTAACAACACTGCGGGTGTACCAACACCACATTGCAACAGAATCAAGAAAATGGGTCATCGTCACCTACTTGAGGGCAATTACGGAGGGACAACAATTGCTGGCCTTAGCCAGTGATGTTCATATTCAGCAATGACAATTATTATAGCAATACTAAGCAACATGTTTGAGAAACGGTATCAGGAGTAAGCCATACTCAAACTTGCTCTATCTTTCAATAAGATCGTAGCTGATCATCTATTTCAGTTGTATTTTGGCACCATATCACCATACCCAGCCCCATTCCCTTTGTATCCAATAAAATTAACTCTCCCAAACAGAATGACTTTAGTTCTAAGTTTGTGTTCATTCACAGTTTGGGTGGCATGGTGGCTCAGTGGTTAGCACTGCTGCCTCACAGTGCCAGGGACCCAGGTTCAATTCCACCCTCAGGCAACTGTCTGTGTGGAGTTTGCACATTCTCCCCATGTCTGTATGGGTTTCCTCAGGGTGCTCTGGTTTCCTCCCACAGCCCTAAGATGTGCAGCTTAGGTGGATTGGCCATGCTAAATTGCCCATAGTGTTCAGGGATGTATAGATTAGGTGGGTCATAGTGGGATGGGTCTGGGTGGAATGCTTTGAGGTTTGGTGTGGATTTGTTGGGCCAAAGGGCCTGTTTCCACACCGAAGGGATTCTATTCACGCTTGATTTGGTTTCCCTGTATCTACCCTATCATATTCACCCCTTAATCCTTTATTAGCCAAGGAAACAAAGGCAAGTTTATACAACCTGTTTTAACATCCTAAGCCCTAAGATCATTCTGAATCTGCACCATATTCGCTCAAAAGCCAATATATCCTTCCCGAGGTTTGGCCACAGAACTGAATGCAGTGCTGCAAATGGGTCAAACCTGGTTCATGCAAAGGTTTTATAGCACTGATTTTTCTTTCTGACAAGCTGAGATTCTGAATATCAGTTATGCATTTGTGTTGATGTGGGGACAGAGAACAGAGTTTGGAATGAATGAGGCAATTCATATTCAAGGGAGAGTAAATTCATATGTCAAAACTTTCACAGTAAAATTAGGTAAATGGTCTTGCTTTTTTTCTATGTTGGACTAAGTGGTGCCATTTACCCACCTGCTGTATCAATCAGGCATTTTTACCCTAGTTGACTCTGTTTTGTTATTCAGTGAAAGATTCTGGGAAAGATGGTCAGAGTGAGCTGATAATAGAAAAGGTAACCAAAGAACATTCCGGTACTTATGTGTGCACAGCAGAAAGTGATGTAGGAATGATCAAGGCAATTGGATTTGTCTATGTGAAAGGTAAGACCTCCATTAGCTGACTAGTGAACACTTTCTAGTAACATTTTGGGAACAGTAATAACTTTCTACCAATCATGGAACAAAAGCAACTTCTTTAAACTGTTTTAAGCCAATGTTCGTTTTCTAATTATAGGAATAAAGATAATTTTTCTTGATAAATTGTACAGAGTGATCATCTATTTACATGTGGGGAAAAGTCTCTGTGTTAAATAAGATTCTGAGGAAACATATTAAGCCTTGGGATTTTAATGTACTCCAGGAGTAGCAATGGAGTGTCAATGCTCATGTCCCAATTGATAAAGACCATGTAGAGTTTGCCAAATTTTGAAAGGAATGAGGATAGCAAAAGAAGGTTTTTTTAGATGGCCTCTGTGTAGCTGCTGATAATCTGTTCCATTTTCAGAGGCACCAGTTCTCCAAGGAGGGGTCACTGCTTACCTGATGGAGCCCCTGGGAGGGAATGTTGTTTTGAACTGTGATGCCCATGGAGATCCAGCACCATCAATAAACTGGAATAAAAATGGCAGACCACTCACTGTTAGTAATCGTATTCGACAAATGAATAATGGTTCCTTGGCCATCTATGGGACAGTGGTGAGTTGCACTTCACCATTGAGCAGCTAACCATGACGTAGACTGTATTAGAGCAAGCTTTAATATTTCTATCCAGCTCATTCTTCTTAACTCTTGGTTTCATCCTGTATTTTCTCCTGTTGACTTGTCCTTATGTGTTTTTGTTGTCCACTTGACTCTGTCTCCTGTCTCTGTCTCTCTTCTCTTCCCTTCCCTTCCCTTCTCATCCCTCTTTTTATCTCACCTCCTCATCTCATTTTCTCTGTCTTCTCTGTCTTCTCACTTGTCTGTCTTCTTTCTGTCTCTCCATTTTGTGCCTTTCTCTTTCCCTAACTCTCTATGGCTCCAAGCTTCTTGTTTCCTCACAGTCTTATAGGTGCATGGTTTATCCATCAGCCTTGGCTGCTACATAAATTTCTTGATTGTCGAGAGACTGGGATGGCTGCTTCCTCACAGGTGCAGCATATGTCATCTACAGCCCTCAAGACACACATGATAGAAAGTTTCCTTTCCAGTTCCACAAACATCAGACCAGTCTTACCACCTTTAACTTTAATGATCGAGATTGGTTACCATTTTCTTTTGCTAAAGCGTATCCTGACTTTCTGATAGAATGAAGATGCCGGAGATTACAAGTGTGTTGCTGAAAATGAAGCTGGAGTAGTGGAACGGAAAGTCACTCTAATGCTGCAGAGTAAGTACAATTGAGGTGGTGCTGGACACACCAGGCTGAAATGCTGATCAATTATTGCCTTCTTTGCATCAGTAATTCTTGGGTTATTTTAACTGCTAATATTGATCACATCAGTTTATTGAACAATACACAGAAAGAAAGAGTTGCATTTCTCTAGCGTATTACACAAACTCGAGAAATTCTAAGATGTTTTATAACCAATTAAATACTTCCTCATCTGAGTAGGGCCTGTCCTTAGAGGATGGCTTCTTTAATATGTTTAGGGTGGAAGCTAGAGAATTGTAGCATTGTGTGGTTATCCAGCAGCTTGCAGTCGAGTGAGGTACTGATGGAGATGTATGTGTCTAAGAATGAGAGTGATTCTGAAGAGTAGTCCATGGTAAGTGATGGTAGGATGAAACATGTTGATATCGTTATGTAGTTGTTTAAATGAGGAGGAATGCGACGGACACCTGAAGGTTTAGAAAGATGCCCTCGTAAGAACGGGATACGATGCTCAACTCATAAATCGCCAGTTCCGACATGCCATAGTGAAAAAACCGCAACAAAGGAAGTGGGGATGTTGTAGGGTACCTTTTCTACAGCCCAGTGGTCTCAATGTGGACTTTACGAGCTTGAAAATCTCCCCACCCCCGACCTCGTCCCAAGACCAGCACTCACCTCGTCCCCGCCTCCTTGACCTGTCCATCTTCTCTCCCACCTTTCCGTTCCTCCCACATCAATGACCAACCCCCACTCCCACTTCCTGCCTACACTCACCTCTACTAGCTTCATCCCCGCCTCCTTGACCTGTCCGTCTTCCCTCCCACCTACCCGCCCCTCCCTCCTCACTGACCGACCCCCATCCCAACTCCCTACCTATACTCACTTTTACTAGCTTCATCTTGACCTCCTTGACCTGTCCGTTTTCTCTCCACCTATCTGCTCCACTATCCAGCTTCTGTCATCGCCTCCCCCTCTCTGTATTTATTTCAGACCCCTCTTCCCCTCCCCCATTTCTGAAGAAGAGTCCAGACCTGAAACGTCAGCTTTCCTGCTCCTCTGATGCTGCCTGGCCTGCTGTGTTCATCCAGCTCCACACCTGGTTATCTCAGACTCCAGCATCAGCAGTTCCTACTATCTCTGTCATCTGACATGCCTGGTTCATTGTATGCCTCAATTTACATTGAGGTTCTGTTGAATAGTTCCACTGATTATCAACCCAACTTGAATAACAAATTTGTTTTCCTCTCTGCAGGTGCACCTGTGTTCACCGTGGAACCTTTGGATACAGTTGTCAGTGTAGGGGACAGGGTCTTATTGCATTGCCAGGCAGCAGGTGAGCCCGCACCCACGGTAGAGTGGACCAAAAATGGACATCCAATCAGAGAGAATGGGCGCCTGGTTGTGTTACAGAATTCCACTCTGCAAATCCTCTCTGCTGTGAAGAAAGATACAGGAGAATACAAATGTGTAGCTCAGAATCTCATGGGATCTTCCTTTGTAGGAATAACTCTAACTGTGCAAGGTAGGTAAAGTCAATATCTTTAAGACTATTTTTATCTTGAGGGATTGTTGTACAGGGTACAAGACTTGGGAATTGACCATTTTTCAGCCTATAACATTGACTTGCACTGACTTTAAAAAGGAAAATTTAAATGGTCCATCATTAAATCGTTGGGCCAAATAACCTTCTTCTGTACTATAGATTGTAAAGATTTGGTAGGGATTGAAAGATAACTACAGATCAAGATGTTTGTGTATGCTGTGGAATATCATGATCCCTGTGCTGTTCAGGAAGAAGAATGGCAGTAGGTTTAGATAAATCTTGAAAGCATTGTTTCATAACTCAACCAAAGGGTTGCACCTGTGACAGTGCAGTATTCACTTAGCATTGCAATAATATGTAAACCCGAATCATGTGCTGAAGACTTGCATTAAGGTTTAGAACTCACCATCTTCTACTATGGGAGCAAAAGGCACAACTAAGGCAGACTGACCATTTGGAGTTGTTGAGAAGAAAGTAACTTTAACGGCCATGCATTTTTCCAATTGAATGTGAGAACAGATAATATTCATTCATCATTTTTATAAATGCAAAACCACAAACTATCTATTTTATGCAAAGGAATAAATTCTCAAATTATTAAAAGTTGAAATGCAAATTGACAAGCCAATAAGAATACAAGAAATGCGTTGGGATTCACTTCCAGAGGAATATTATTGAAAAGCAGAGAATATATGTTACATTTGCAACAAACCTTTTTCATCCATACCTGGACAGTTCTGGCCTTTGTATTAAAAAAAGAGGCGCTGGAGATGGTGAAAAAATGGGGTCACAAAGATGATACCAGATCTGAGAGGTTATGACAATCAGGAAAGACTGTGCAGGCTAGGGTTCTACCCTTTAGAAAGGCGAGTGTAGAAGAGTGGCCTTTTAGAGGTCTTTATATCAGCGGTTTTATAAAGATGGTTCCACTTTGTTGGGGATTCAAAGATGAGAACCCACATGTACGCTATCCGAAAACCAGGAGCTCAGCATCAAGGCTGTGTCAGATTTTGGATTTTGCTGGATTTTGAATCAGGCACTTTGAGTCATGAGAGTATGGGATAGTCTGGGTCAGGTAAACAAAAGAAAAGTTAAAATGAAAAGAACAGGCCCAGGTTTTTCTTTGCTATCCATCACATGAATGCAAGTGTGATCTGGTCCCATTAAGAGGCTTCCTTTGATTGTAATCTGTTACGCTTTTCACAGTGCATGGTGGATTTTCAGAATGGCTGGACTGGGGCCCCTGCAGTGCTACCTGTGGCCAAGGAATCAAAGAGCGAATCCGTTTGTGCAACAATCCTTTACCAGCCAATGGAGGAAGATCATGTCATGGCTGGGATGTAGAATCAAGGCAATGCAATGCAAAGCCTTGTCCAGGTAAGTATGTAAAATCTTCTCATTATTTCATCATAACCCATTTGCCAAGTTGGTAAAGAAAGAAAAACTTGCACCTGTACACTGCATGTCACTTTACGACTAATGGTGTACTTTTAGAAAATTAGAAAATAGGAACAGGAATAGGATATTTGATGCTTTGATCCTGACTCACCGTTCAGTATGACCTTGACCAATCATCCTACTCAATCCCCGGTTTCCACTTTCTCTCCAAAGGCTTTGATCCAGCCCTTAGAACTATACCCATTTCATTCTTGAAAACATTCACTGTTTTGGCCTCAGCTGCTTTCTGTGGCAGAGAATTCCACAGGCTCACCACTCTCTGGGTAAAGAAATGTCTCCTCATCTCAGTCCTAACAGTGATAAATGCCAAAATTGTGGGAGGGAGTTAGGGACCTAGTGTTGGTGAGACTATGGGACAGGGCAGAGAATTATCCAGAGAGGTGGGATTTTGTCCAGAGTTGGGGTGGGAAGGTATCGAGAGCATTACTGGGGAAGAAGTCACTGTCCAGAACATGTAAGAGGTGGATGAAGTGTGTGGGAGGTAGGGGTTCTGTCTAATCATGTAGGCTGACCAGGGTGGAGGGCAGGAAATGCTTCCACTGGGAGCAGGCATTTAGGGGGAATGGCAGAGCCACAGTGTGTGTACTGCACGTGTATCAATTCAAGATCTGAAAACAATAAAAGGAAGCACTGAAATCAAAGATTTGGCAGTGCACAACTCAGGACATGGAACAAGTGCTCCAAATAAGAGACAGTCCTGTAAAGTCCCTGGAGGTTGATCACTTGTCATCTGTATTTAAAAATAGCAACAGAGTTGGTTGAGAAATTTCAGAAAACTGTTTCACTGCATCAACAACTGGCCAAAGCCTATGCTTTCATCATAGTGGGTAACAATTGCATTCAGGATTTCCAATCTAAATGTTTACATAGGCAGTTTAAACATTAAAAATGAGCATGAAAGCATGACCAATGCTCATGTGACACTAGCAAGTCATAGATGCATAAAATATTTAATATTAAATGAATTTATTTCATAGCTCAGTCACTATACTACCTAATGTCCCTCCTTCATGCTTATACCTGATCAGTATTTGTCAGCAGTTATTCGATTCAGAGTCTCTTGCTCAGTTTTTTCTCGCCTGTAGCCATTGCTAATTGCGGCCAACCTGAGTGAAATTTTATTAGTTCAGTCCAAGTCCAGCATTGAGTCCGGGACCATTTCTGGTTTGATCAGCTCAGTATGCAACTAGCAAAGCAACCAGCAAACCAAAGTGCTGCCAGTAGTTTCTAATCAAAAGTGTCTGTTCTTTCTTAGTTCATGGACAGTGGTCCCACTGGGGTGCATGGGAGGGATGCTCCCAAAGCTGTGGACAGGGAAACCAGACCCGTAGGCGAAGCTGCAGTGACCCACCCACACAGCATGGAGGTCGGTCATGTGAGGGGAAGGCGACTGAGGTGAAAAAATGCATCTTTGTTCCATGTCCAGGTGGGAAAAATCAGACCAGTCCTTCTAGCTAATAAAGGTTGTGTTCAATCAATCTTTGAGAACCTTGCTCATCAAGTTATCAGATTAAAACATGCAAACCTCATAGCCAGACATATTCCAACTTGCTTCACACTGATGTTCCATTATTGTATATTACAGTTACTGAGTATGTGACTCACTTTACCAATCTCCAAATTCTTGAGGGAATTCCTCTATCCTGAGTACACAGACTTTTGTACATTTTCAGCAGGTTTAATGTGAAAATATCACAGGAAAGGGGGAAGAAATTTGCTGGTTGGATCACTTTCCCCAATCTATTTAACAAAGCGCTGTTGAAATTCACTCAAGCACTTGGAATATTGTGTTCAGTTCTGGTCACCTCATTATAGGAAGGATGTGGAAGCGTTAGAGAGGGTGCAGAGGAGGATTACCCGGATGCTGCCTGGACTGGAGGGCAGGTCTTATGAGGAAAGGTTGAGGGAGCTAGGGCTTTTTTCATTGGAGCGAAGAAGGATGAGAGGTGACTTGATAGAGGTGTACAAGATGATGAGAGGCGTAGATAGAGTGGATAGTCAGAGACTTTTTCCCAGGGTGGAAATGACTATTACGAGGGGGCATAATTTTAAGGTGATTGGAGGAAGATATAGGGGAGATGCCAGAGGTAGGTTCTTTGCAGAGTGGTGGGCGTGTGGCATGCACTGCTGGCAGTGGTAGTGGAATCATATACTTTAGAGACTTCTAAGTGACTCTTGAATAGGCACATGGAGGATAGTAAAATGTAGGGTATGCAGGGTAGTTTGATCTTAGTAGGATAATAGGTCGGCGCAACATCGTGGACCGAAAGGCCTGTACTGTGCTGTACTGTTCTATGTCCTGTGTTCACAACAGGTGCTGTTATCTCATGAATCAGGATAGATCACAACTAAAACTGTGGGTATGTTGGGTTTAAATTGAGGTAAAAATTGCCATAGTCTAACCAGACCAGAGAGAGAAATTGTAGTAATAGTTTAACCTGAGGGCCACCTTACCTCAGGCAAGAGGAAAAAGTTGAAAAGGAGAGTCCTTCACGGCAACCTTTGCTGGTACGGGAATTGAGCCCACATCTTAGCACATGAGTTACATAACAAAATTTTTAATTGTGACAAGTAGTGAACACTTATCTAGGTCAGACAAGCCAGTTGGCACATGCAAACAACACTTCCTTCTTCATTCTCTTTTCTTCTTGGTGTCTCATGTCTCCTCATCATAAACTACTTAAGAGAAAAATTCTACTCTTAAGAGTTCTCCTCCATGGCCTAACTGCACTGAAACCTTCCAAAGTTTCATACTTCATCACTCTTTTTAGGCTGGACTTGAGTGTCAACAGAATCTTTTTGTGCTGTAAAGTCTTCCCTCAATGTAAAGTGCCTGATGCTACAGTGTGTTCTTTATGTGACCCACAGAATAAAAGGCCAACCATGACTCTCTAGAACTTATAAATGTACCTTCTGCACTCGATGAACTAAGCTTTTACATCATTTCTTATCTCATCCCATTTTGTTCCCCACAATCAATTCTATAATTCCCTTGAACACCTTCCTCAGCCTTCAAGCTTACTCGCAGAGGCCTACTTGGCTCTATTATCTTGTTAGTATTTTCAATCAACCTGTTCAGACACATTATGATACACTTCTAGTGCAGGTGAGACTTGAACCTGGACTCCCCGGCCCAGTGGTAGACACTACTACTGAATCAAAAGAGCCTCTCCCTTTTCTTGTAGAGAGTCATTTATGCCCGGATTATTTCAAAAGGCCTGTTAATAAATTGTCAATAATGGCTATTCAGTCGAACCATTCTAATTCCATATCACATTATTGAAGTATAGTGTTATCTAAGAAAGTAGATTCTATTCTACCTCCATACAGTAATTAACTTTCACATTTTTGCAAACATACCTATTGAAGTAACTAAGAGTTACAGTCTCTATTTCAAACGCCCAATAACATGAATACATGTGTACCTGTCCCTCTGGTTTTGGTCTTACCTTTCTGCCTATGGTTAACCATCTTTCTCAGCAGAACTGAACTCAGAAATTCAACAGGTTACAAACTGTGACATAATTCTGTGCTTGGCTGCACAACGTTCTATATCTATGCACAATCCTCTCTCTCCCTTTCTCCACCTGTTTCTCTTCACTCTCCAAATTGCCCATCAAGTCAAGAGAAAGACACAACAGACTGTTAAGAAAGAATTAAAGCCCATGGGATCCAAGCATGGCCATTTAGATCCAAAAATTGGCTCTGTGACAGGAAGCAAAAGGTAATGTCAACAAATGTCTTAGCAAATGGAAAGCAAATTCCAGTGGTGTTCCACAGGGCTATTTTGAGTCACTTGCTGTTTGTGATATGTATTAAAGAATTGGATTTAAATGGAGGCATAATTGGGAAATTTGAAGATGACACAAAAATTGCCTGGATAGCCGATAATGAAGAGGATCGTTGTTGATGACAGGAAAATATCAATAGTTTGGTTGCGTGGGCAGAAAAGTGGCAAATGAAATCCAATCAGGAAAAGTGTAAGGTTCTGCATTTGAACGGGACAAACCAAGCAGGGGAATACACAATAAACAGGAGAGTATTGAGAAGGATAGAAGTTGATGCTCTTTGGAGAGTTGGTACAGCCTCGATGGGCTAACGGCCTCTATGTCTCTGTAGGGTCTGTATAAGACTATGAGATGCTATGAAAAGTTAGAGATCTTGAAGTGCACGATAAATGATATGGGTGTTCTCCTTCATTGGGTGAGGTATTGAATACAAGAGCAGGGATGTAATGCTGGAGTGATATAAGACACCCAATTAGGCCACAGCTAGAGTTTGTGGACAGTTCTGGTCACTACATTGCAGGAAGGGCATATTGCTCTGAGGAAATACAATTTAAATTAAACCAAATCAAACTAAATTATACCAAATTAAAAAGTGATAGACCCTTAAAGGAACACTAACAAAAATTAAGAGTCCAAGCAAAACTTAGCAAATTCAAATTCTATTGTTGTTATGGCCAGAGCTAATGCAGTCTAGACCCTGTGCTATCCACCAGTCATGGAAGGCTTCAAGTGTACCAATGGAGACAGCATGCTGTCTCTCAAGGTAAAGGTGTAACTGCAAAAGAGTGACTAGCAGTTGGGTATGATGACCCCTTCCATGGCCAGATGTGCAGGATCTGTTAATGGCTACCTTGATCAAGCCCCTGATCAGAGCCTTCAGTTTGCCTTCCCTGCCTCTATAGTGAGTGCCAAAGATCAGAAACATGGAGCTGAAGTGCAAACAAAATAAATTAGCAGTCCCTTTAAATAATGGAGGAATGGCTACAATCTGATGCAACCAGTGTATACGTGGAACATAGACTTCCCAAGGCTACAGTAAATGGAAATCTGTGAACCACCTTAACCTCCTATAGCACAAGAATGCTACATGCAACATCCTCCATGTCAAAATCCCAATGATAAAAGGGTGGACTCCAATGGTGAGAGCCCTTCTCTTGGTGCCCCTAAATGGCAATCTTTCTTTATAACTATTTCTTTGTATCAATTTTTTTGAATATATAATGACACACCCCTATGTCTATCACATTTTAAGGTATGATTTGAATCCAGACTTTCTGGTCTCAGGATTGGGACACTACCACTGTGCCACAATATCCCCTTTTCATAGATTTTGAATTCATTGCCTTAAGAAATTGGCCATCAATGTGGTCATCAAGGATAGTAAGAAACATAGTTGGCCAAATTCAAACCTTTTGGGAAGGCCTGTGTAGATTTTTAGTCCATCGCCTTAACCACTCGGCCAGGTTGCAGGGCAAGTTTTCTTATTACTAATTAAATAATGCCATTCACTTGTCTTAATGATATAACTGACATACTATAATACTTGCACTGACACCATTCCATTTTACTGAAGAACATTTTTAACATTACTAATAAACCTGTTCAGATTTGCTATCACACATCTCTAGAGTGGATGCGACTAGAACCGTGTCCTTCTGGTCTAGAGGTAGGGGCAGTACCACTACAGCAAAAGAGCCCCCAAGTTCTCCATTTATTTTCTTTTGTACCCAGTAGTGATCTTACACAAAACTGAACATTTTTCCCATCACCCAATCACCCATTTTTTTCATGTATTAACTACAACCAGTAAAGTTTCCAGTTGAATAATTCAAGTTTTTCTTTTATAAAGCTGTTCCATTAGGCCCCAGTTTCTGTCAATTAGTTTCATCCCAATCAAATCAATTACAGGTGACACAGTGGTAATGTCCCTGCCTCTGAGCTGGGTGATCTAGGTTCAAGTCCTACCTGTTCCACTGATTTGTTATCACGTCTCTGAGTAGGTTGGTTAGTAAAATTTTTAAATCAATTCCAGAAATAATGAGGTTTGAAACTCAACTTCAATTATAATTCTAGTTGATAGAACAATCTGGTGTCTTGAAAGATTGTGAGCGGTGTTTGAAGTGCAGAAACGACTTTGGTGATTGTGTCTTCCCAACAGTGGATGGACAGTGGACGGTTTGGAACAGCTGGTCTCACTGCTCAGCGTCCTGTGGGGGAGGGATCCACCAGCGGACCCGGTCGTGTTTTGATCCACCGCCTCAGTATGGTGGCCGACTGTGTGAAGGAAGTGATGTTGATGTAGTACTGTGCAACAATGAACCGTGCCCAGGTAAGAGCAAGCCAATCAGTTAAAGCGTGTGGAGCTCGCTATTCTGTGATGATAAATTAAAGAGGAAATTCAGGAGGATCTTCTTTACATAGGTGGTTATGAGAATGTGAACTCAACACCATAGAAAGTAGGTGAGGTAAATAGCATGAATGCATTCAATGAGAAACAGGATGGAGAAGGAATAATTAATCACAGAAAGCTAGGAAATGATAGGGTGTTGAACAGATATATTGTGTCTGTCTTCACTGTAGAAGACTTGCAAACTTCAAAAGACACTTGTAAATCAAGAACTGCTTCAGCAGTTCTTCTGATTTTTTTTTACTTGTAAATCAAGTACCGGAGCGTGGAAATTAAAAAGTGCTAGGAAAACTATTCAACCTAAAGGCTGACAAGTTTCCAGGTCCAGATGATCTGCATTCTGGATCTTAAAAGAAACAATTGCAGAGTTAGTAGAGACAATGGTTATACCATCCAAGTTCCTTAGTTTTGAGGGAGCCTGGATAATGGAAATATAATTTCCTTTTGTAGGTGAGACAAGAACTAGGGGATATGATTTAAGAATAACATGGAGATGAGAATTATTTTCTGTTAGCAGGTTGTTAATCTTTGGAACTCTTTTCCCCAGAAATCAGTGAAGGCTAAGTCATTGGGTTTATTTAATGTAGAGTTCAATAAATTTTTGATAGACCAGAGAGCTGAGGGTTATGAAAGAAGACAGGAAAGTGGGGCTGAGGCCACAACCATATCAGTCAGGATTTTATTGAAAGGCAGAGCAGGTTGGAGGGCTGTATGGTCAAAGCCTGCTTCTAAGCCCCATATTTCAATGAAGGGAAAAAAGGGTTATGCTGATAGAATTAGGCGAAGAAGGATTGGAGGATGCTTAAGTAAAACGTAAATTGATTGAGCCAGATGGCTGATTTTTTGTGCCATATATATTACATAAATTAGCCTGAAATATTTGAAGTGTTTCAGACTAGGCAGAAAATATAGGGTAGACAATGGGGCACAGTATTCAGAACATTTGTGTGCTATAGGGCAGCACAAACTCAGTAGCAGTCATTGACCATGCCAGTGGTGAATTCCTAATCTCAGCCATGCTGCCATCTAAAGGCACTGGTTTGAGGTCAACCCTTTCTACAGTGAAATACTGAATTGAATGTCAAGTCTCTTGTGACAGTCTGAGTGGCCAGCTATGATACAGGCTTATTCAAAACTTGGAAAGGCCTCAGCAACATCTCCCCTTTACATTCGAAAAGAAAATCATTTACATTTGTTTAGCACCTTTTGCCATATATTCCAAGCACTTACTTTTGACACGGGAAATTTACATCAGAAAACTCTCACAGACAGAAATGCGATAATGACCTGATAGTCTTCATGAGAAAGTGTGATTGTGGGAGAAGATGAATCGAATCTGGTCAGGAGAGTTGACAGTGAATAAGGCGATATTTTGATTTGGAAATAATAAGAACTGCCGATGCTGGAGTCAGAGATAACACAGTGTGGGGCTGGACGAACACAGCAGGCCAGGCAGCATCAAAGGAGCAGGAAGGTTGACCTGCTTCCGCTGAGTGAAATCTGTTTCTTGTTTGCAGTGAATGGGAACTGGGGCTCCTGGAGCTCCTGGAATCCATGCAGTCAGACCTGCGGCGGCGGACAAAGCAAGCGTTACCGATCATGTAGCAACCCAGCCCCTGCCAATGGTGGCAATGTTTGCTCAGGGGCAAATGTGCAGATGCAGCGCTGTGGTATAGACATGTGCCCTGGTAAGTTTAAACTGAGAGCTGGCCAGTAGGGTGAGAAGGTGGAAAGGGGGAAAGCGGGTGCTGTCATACTTCACACAACCAGACAATGTTGCACAATGAGCAATTTTCAAACAATGGGCTAAGGCAGCAAAGTTAAAGTACCAGCTTCTAGCCCTGAGTCTTAAAGAATAGAGCACTCCTATGTTAGCTCATGATTCTGTAATCAACCTCAGTGATCACTTGCCCACACTCTTAAACAGAGAAAGAAAAAAACGAACCTGACAAATGGGGATTGCTGCTCACTGACAACTGCTAGAATACGTGCCTGTGATATGATATTATTTTAGTTTGGGTTATGATGAACTAAGAAGTGGCTGTTCATGCCAATTCTGAACAGTTAGATAATTCCACCATCTGCTGTCCAAGTGCAACAATTACAACATGAAACAAACCCAATTAAAACAGGCAAGAATATTCCCTGTCAAAATCTGTTTCTATTTTTATCATAATGTGATGTAGGATGTGTGATTTTTATATATTTTAATAATTATTTTTGAGTTTGAATTTGAACTGACGGTATATTACTTTTCTGTGTGTCTCAAGGGTTTAATGAGTAACATGTAAGTATTCCTATAGCTGTGGAGATTTCTTTCAAAACACAGTATGTGAGAAAAACTTCCTTGAGAGTAATGGGTTTTCGCTTAGGCTCCAGCTTGAAAGGTCAAGAGTTGATTTTTTTTCTTTTTGATTCGGGGAAACAGCCATAGCTGGGAGAAGAAAATAGGGTTGCTTCAGTCTTGGGAGTTCTGCAGGTTTCTTAACTGTAGCTGAGTGTGGAAAGCAGTTGCTCCTGAAAAAAGAAGGTAGTTCAGAATTTTCAAAATAGGTTGTTTCAGTGGAAGGAATTTAGTACAAGTTCCACACTGGAAGCGTTTGATTAAAACTTAAAGGAGTTACGTGAAGCTGAGGAAGTATATACTCAGTTATATGACAAATCAAAGAAAAAGCTGTCAGATTCACATGACTGGGAATGGAAGCCACAGTTAAGTCAAACCCTATGAAGCATACAGAGTGTGAGTAGTGTAAAGAGTGCTTTTGGGATTAATGGGATTATATTTTTTGAAATATTTTGAAATCTTTAAATCTATGTTATATGAAAATAGTTTGGTTTATTCTATTTTATCTTCATTTCTCTTGTGTAATAAACTTTTGTTTTAATGTTAAAACCAAAGCTGCATCATTGCATGCTTTTGTTTCAGTAAGAGAGCACCTCGTCAAAACAAAAAGGAATACCAAATATGATCTATCAAGCTCGACTTAAGTCTGGAATCTGATTTGTCCAGCCCACTCCTGTAGACAGTCTTTATGTCAGCCTCCTTACTTTCCCTGGCAATGTTCTCCTGATCATTTGCTGAGACCATATCTTTGTGCTGTAACAAAATTTGGGTCTAAAATTAGGCTTCTCTTCCAAAAGATAGCAAGACATGTGGTGCTGAATGCATTGTTATTCAAACTGTGATTAAATCTTCAAAAAGGAGATTTAAAACTTCCAATGCTGCTCCCTGACACACTCACAGCTGTGTCACTTCCTCCAACACATATTCTGCTGTAACAATTTCCTCCTGATGCTCTCATATTTGGACCCCTGTATTTTAATGAATGCAACTTTGATTTGAAGCTGATCTGCTGCATATGAATCACTACCTGTTTACTGCAATGGTAGAATGCATCTGAGCATTAACATTACTAAATGACAACATCCTCTATGTCACAACATGTAAACCAAGTTCTTGAAAATGGGTTGCAATTATACCTGGTACCTTGAAACTATTTTAACTTGTGGCATTAAATCGTTGTTGATTAAATGTTCAAACAGGCTGTTTGAATGTTCTTTATGGCAGTGAACGGTGGTTGGAGCCCATGGCAACCGTGGAGCGAATGTTCAGCTTCTTGTGGAGGAGGGAAGCAGTTGAGAAAACGACAGTGCAACAGTCCTCCCCCAAACAGCAATGGAAGAGGCTGCCCTGGAGAGAGCTTCCAAACAGCCAGCTGCAGCTACCACCCATGTCCAGGTGAAAAGGCTACCATTGGTAGTGAAACAAAACTCTATTTAAAGATTGGCTGGTCCAGTGGGTCAGTACTCCAAGCTTTCAGTGGACTTGGATTCAAATCCTATGTGTTAATGTCCTTCCTCTTTTCACTGGCAAATGACACTGGCTCTGTTTTAGCTGATGTAAGATGTTTACTTCTGAGTACAAAGGTCATGGATGCAAAGTTCAGCATCAGGACCTTGAGGTCAGAATCCAGACTAGCACTTGCAGTGCAGTGGAGGGCATACTGCACTGGCAGAGCTGCATTCTTCTCAGATTAACAAGTAAGTAACGTAAGATAAAGGACTCGGAATACATCATATAGTCCCTAGAGCATGTTTGAACGTGCAATGCCAACATAGCCTATCTTCTACCACAACAGTTTCCTGCCCTCCCTCCATGTCCTTTGATTCCTTATTCCCTAATAATCCATCTAGTTCTGTCTTAAATATACTCAACATCTGAACATCCGCAACTTTCTGAGATAGAGAATTTCAAAGATTCACTACCCTCTAAATGAGGAAAGTTCTGCTCATCTCAGTTCTAAATGACTGATCGCTTATCCTGAGGCTGTGGCCCCTAGTATGAGATTGTCCAGTGTGTCTAGACTGTGAGAAATGTTTAAAGTCAACACAGTGTCTACAGTGGAAAACACTCACACCCTCTGGTGGGGGAAAAAATGTTTTATCTTTCGGTAAAGCTTTGGACTCCACAGTAACAGATGCTGCCCCTTCATTACAGGTATTCCAGGGAGAGCCAGGGGCAGTCTGATTGGAATTATTAATGACAAAGAATTTGGAATCGCAATCCTTGATGCAAACATCACAGAAAATGCAGCTGCAGGCACTACAACCCTTCAGGCAAACGTTCAGAACATTCCAAGCACAATCGGTTGGTATTTCACAGACTGAAGGCACTGTCTGCACTTTGTCATAAACTGTTGCCTGTCGTTTTCTATTGGGCTTTGATATCTCCTCCCCATCTCTCCCCCAATTCTTTCCAATCCCCTGCTCCCCAAACATTGTATGTACTTCAACTTGTTCTTTTACTCTGACTGCAGTATTTTAATGATCTGTAACAGGCAATTTTCTCACCAATTCTCTGTCTCCAATGAAAGCTCCTATTTGGCATTAAATTTGTCTCAGGGATTGGTCTCACTCTAGTACTCTGCTCATATGCTTTCTTTCTGTTACTTGGCAAGCATTCACCCGTGAGTGGAATCACAGATGACCTCAACCCTGGCACCATTAAGTGGGAATTATTAGACAATGATCTGAAATGTAAAACTATTTTCTTCCCTGTCTGTCCAGCTTAGGTGATAGGTGGGTGAGGCCATTTGCTGTGCCCCAGTTAGACATGCCATTCATCTGTGTATTAAGATGGCACAGATGAAACCTGTGTCCGTTGCCTGCCTTGTGTATTCATTGTCCATATCACCTTTAGTCTGATTTAACCCTTAACCAGTGTATTTACCCAGCCTGTGTATCTCTCACACAGAATGCATAAATCCCCTGACCTCACCCTTCCTCTGTCTATGTAACACCCCTTTACACTTCTCATGAATGGTCATTTATCTGAAACATTGAATTTATTTCTCTCTCTCTCTCTCTCTCTGTTAAATTGTTACTGCCAGAACTGATAAGTATTTCCAGCATTTTCTGTTTTTATTTATTTTTATTAAAGTATTTTATTTTCAATTGTTTCAAAGTAATATATCTTTGTGTCCCGTTCCTGCAATATGCTTTAGGTCCTCTGGTAAGAGTACTTGCCTCAATTTTTACCCCCATTTATTGGGCAGTGGCCTATCCTGCACCAGGCACAGCAAACGGCTTCATTCTGACTAAAGGAGTTTTTAGGCAAGAATCTCAAATGGAGTTTGCAACAGGTAAGTGAGCATAGCTGCAGAAAGAACACTGGAGAGAGAAATGGCTGTATTTTGACTGGGGGATAGAACAGCTTGCTTTCATGGGGCCTTTTTCATAGCGACCAACTATCTCAAAGCGCTTTAAAGCCAATTATAAAGTATGGTTGCTCTTGTAATGCAAGAAGTCTGACAGCCAATTCACACACAGTAAACCCTACAAGCAGCAATCTGGACCCTTCAGGGTCTAGGCCCGAAACATCAGCCTTTCTACTCCTATGATGCTGCTTGGCCTGCTGTGTTCATCCAGCTCTGCACCTTGTTGTCTTTTAAAAATTGGAGATGGGTTTTGGGGTCATACATGTCCTGTTGGATTTGTCATAATGCACTCCCAAATGTAAGAGTGACCCTGCACATGTCCAGAATAAACTTGCATGCGCAGAGGTGATGATCTGTTTGATTTCAGTATCTGAGGGTATTTTGTGGCCTAAGCAGATTCCCAAGCTTCCTGGGTTGTCTGATTCTGTCACTAAGGCAATGCCAAGAGGTGCTCTCTGACTGCAGCCTCTGACTTTCAGGTGAAATTCTACGAATGACACACATTGCCCGGGGAGTAGACACAGAGGGTGTCCTACTGTTTGACATAGTGATCAATGGTTATGTCCCCAGAAACATAGCAATTGCAGACGTTGCTGTGAAGGTGAGTAGATCTCTTTGACCGTACAGTTCTTCATATATAACTAGCAGTAAACAACCGAGTAGAAGGCTAGGAGGTAATGTTTCAGAGCAGATTTTGTGTGTCTTACCTACTAATAAGCATACATACAATCATATGAATTAGCATTAGGAGGCTGTTCAGCCCCTCAATCCTGCTCCACAATTTGATAAGATCATGTGTGACCTGATGTGGCCTCAATTCCATTTTCCTGCTACCCCCACTAAATCTTGATTCCCTTGTCAGTCAAGAATGTATTTAAGTCTGCCTTAAAAATATTCAGTGACCCTGCCTTAAAGATATTCAACAACCCTGCCTCCACTGCCTTCTGAGGAAGAAAATTATGCACAGTTCTAACCCTCAGAGAAAATGTTTTCCTACTCTCCATCTTAATTGGGAGACACCTTATATTTAAACTGTCTGTATACTCTCTTGCATGAGGAGAAACATCCTTTCAGCATCCACTCTGTCAAGTTTCCTTAGAATCTTATGTATTTCAATGAAATCACTTTTCGTTCTTCTAAAATTCAATGGATACTGGTCCAACTTCTTCATCCTTCATCCACAAGACAACGCCCTCAACCCAGGAATCAAGCATGTGAATCTTCTCTGAATTGCCTCAAATGAAATTGTGTCCTTTCTTAGATAAGGAGATCAAATCTGTGTGCAGTAATCTAAATTTGGTCTCACCAGTATCCTGCACAATTGTCGCAAAAATCCCTAAATTTGTAATCCATTCATTTTGTAATAAGTGCAAAAATTCTATTTGCTTTTCTAATGATTTACTGTACTTGTATACTAAATTTTAGTCGTTAATATATTAAGACACCACAGCCTTGTCTACCTCAAAGTTCCGCAGTCTCTTTCCATTTAAGTTATATGCTGCTTACTTATTCTTCCTACCAAAGTGGACAAGTACACATTTTCCCACGTTATACTCTGCCAATTTTTGGCCTGCTCACTTAACAAGTCTACCATTTTCAGACACCTTATGTCCTCTTCACAACTTAGTTTCTGATCTATTATTGTCTTATCAGAAAATTTAGCAACCATACATTCAGTACCTTTATCCAAGTATTGATATAGATTTTAATAATTGAGGCACCAACTTAATATCTGTGAACTCTGCTCAATTCATCTTTTCAACCTGCAAATGAACCATTTATGTACCTTCTCTGTTTCTCTTGAGCTAACTAATCCTCTATCTATGTTAGTATGATCCTCCTACACCATGCACTACTAATTTGCATAGTAACCTTTGATTTGAAGCCTTGTCAAATTCCTTTTTGAAATCCAAGTACACCACATCCATGGGTCTGCTCCTATGATGCTGCTTGGCCTGCTGTGTTCATCCAGCCCTGCACCTTGTTGTCTCGGATTCTCCAGCATCTGCAGTTCCTACTATCTCTCCCTTTATCCATGTTGTTTGTAATTCCTCAAAGAACTCTATTAAATTAGTCAAACATGATTTCGCAATATGACTATGCCTGATTGAATTGGAATGTTCTAATTGCCCTGCTTTAACCTCCTTAATAAAAGATTCCAACATTTTTCCTATGACAGATGTTGAGCTAACTGGCCTGTAGTTTTCTGCTTTCTATCTTTCTTCTTTCTTGAATAAAGGAGTTACATTCACTATTTCCCTAGCTGACAGGATCTTTCCAGACTTTAGGAAATTTTGGAAAATTAACATTTAGTATCTACTACAACTGTGTCCTTCTACTATGTCATTAGTCGTTTCTTTTAAGACCCTAGGATGAAATCCATCAGAACCAGGGACATGTTATCTTTTAGTTCCAGTAGTTTTCTCATTGTCTTTTTACTAGTGACTGTAACTGTTTTAAGTTCTGTCCTCCCTTTCACCTCTCAATTTAAAATTACTAATGGGTTATTTGTACCTTTACAGTGATAACAGCTGCAGAGTATCTATTTGGTTTATTTGCCATTCCCTTACTTTCCATTATTAATTACCCAAACTCACTGTCTGGAGAACTACCAGACATCATATGTACTCTCTTCCATTTTAAATATAGGTGGGCATTCTTACTATATGTTTGTATATTTCTAGCTAGCTTTCTCTAATTTTCTACTTTCTTTTGTTTATAAATGTTGGCTGTTTTCTGTGTTCTCTTGTGACCTGCCACTTACCTTCACAGAATCATTTGCCCTTTCTTTCAATTTGGTACTATCTGTAACTTCTTTAGTTAGCTACAAATGTTACATCCTACCCCTAGAGATTTTCTTTCTCAGTGAACTGTATCTTTGCTAGTGTTATTCCTAACGTTAATTTCCCATTCACTTTAACTAGATCTGTTCTCATATGCTCATAAAAAACTAATGTTAGACCCAATCGCTTCTTCCTCAATCTGACTGTGAAACTCAATTATGTTATGAACTGTCCTAACGAAGGGCTCTTTTACTATGAGGCCATTAATTAACCTGTCTTGGTGCACATTACCACATCCAAAATAGCCTGCTCTCTGTTTGTCTGTCAAGCATGCTGCTTTAAGAATCTGTCCCAAAAACAACATCATGAACTCACCTTCTCATTCCTAAGTTATAGACATAATGTGAATGGGTCAGATTTCATTTTTACAAATGTTTGTCTTCTCTTTGTCTTCCATGGATGTTCTTTAACCCCAAAACCAACCATGAGTAACTGACAGACATCCTATACCCCTTAACACCATCAATGCTGCTCCAAATGTGACTACTTAGAAATGCTTGCAATGAGATGGTTGGGAGAAGAAGATCCAGATCTCCCTTTCTCACTTTATGAATTTTCCAGGTGATTCCCACACCCGCCCCCAAACCAGTAACAATGGTTTGAGCTCAGGACCTTAACATGGAACCAAGGGAAAAAGGATTGCAACTGCAAATCAGCATCTTAAAACTCCCATTTAACTCTGTTACTCGTCTGTCAGCTTAATTTCCAACCTTAAATCTCAGCCCCATGTTCTTGCTCCTAGTCCAGACCTCCAACTCATAGTATTTACTCATTGGGTTTTCTGGTTCAATTATTCCCTTATGGAAGATGAGGGCAGTTGCCAACCACCACGATGTCATAGCAGACGAATCCCTGCTCAAGGTGACTGCCCCAAAACTGCACGGCAGGTTATAGAGGAGTTCAGCCAGAGTTGCTGCTCCTGATCGCTAGAAATTTCAGATCAAAATAGAACCTGTTTACAAGGAACAATAAAATTAGAAGTATTTAAATAACAACTTTTAATTTAAGGGCATTGATGTTGCACTTTTGGAAATTGTCTGCGTTAATTGTCGTCCAAACAGTGATTCCTTTCTTTAAATCTAGGATTTCAGTGAAAAGTATGTCCAGACGGGTCCAGGACAACTCTATGTTTCATCAACCCAAACCTTTCTTCACAGTGGCTCCCCTCTTTCCTTCCACTGTAACCACAGCATCGAGTATGAGTCTGGGATGGGCAACCAGCCTTCACTCTTCCAGATTTTGAAGGCTGAGTACGTCTCTGTCTTCTATAGTGAGAAGATGGAGGAGTTGAATTTCAGGATCACTGTCTCCTTCCAGAAGGGTGAGTGTTCAAGATCATAAATTATGGACTCTATAATTACTCCGCAGGATTAATTGTCTTTTAATGTGTTTCAGGTTCCACTGAAGGTTACTGCCCAGGAGGATATATTCTTGATTCATCCTCGTACTGTTTAGGTAGGCTTCAGTTTTTCTGTTATTAGCATTACTGTGTTTGGTTTAAAATAGATAATGTGTGGTCATCCAGGAAATATACTGCACTCAATCTGCCTGTAAATGGATCCAAGTGGAAGTGGTTTTGGTCCCATTTCAAGCTGTTTGCCTGGGAAAATGGACAATTCTTATTAATCATTGGCACTGAAACAGTGGTAGAATGGAAACTTAAACCTCTTAGGAATAGGAGCAGGTGTCAAAGAACAGTACAGCACAGGAACACTTTGGTCCACCAACCCAGAGCCAACACATGTATCATTGGACTTGAAGCCCACTACTGAATAATATTTGAGAGAGACTTGATATTGATACAGGGAACATTAAGTGCAGGCATATTCCCTATCTCAATACTAACATTTCCTACCATTACATATCCCAGAGCCAACAATCCTCATATTCCATATTCTATACCAGCAAAACCATTGTGGTGGTGAGCCACTTATTAGAGTTGACTGGTGGTGAGGGGTGAGATTAAGAAGTCTTGCTGACCTGTCTAGTACATATATTGAACCCATGCTGGGGGAGTCCATCAACATTGCAAACCAGCCATCCAGCTAACTGAGCTAATTAATCCTCATAAAATCTGTAGTCCTCTGAGGCTGTAATTACTTTCACTTTCACTTGAACTACTGCAATCCATAGGAGCATAGATGCACCCATAGTTCTGATAGGAAGGGAGTTCCACAACTTGGACCTGCGACAGTGAAAGAGCAATGATATCATTCAAAATTGATTGTGTGTGGCTTGAAGAAGGATTTTTGATGTTAGAATGTGGGTTTGGAAGTTGCTATCGAAGGAGCATTGGTGAGTTGCTTCAATGAATCTTGCAGATAGTACACACTCGCCAGTCAGTAACAGTGAATTTTGAAGAAACCTCTTTACTTGGAAAGTGATGACAATATGGAACTCTCCACTACATGCAGTAGTTGAGGTGATCCATTTCACAGAGGGAGAAAGGAATTAAAGGCAAGATTTTTCATTAATTAGATGTGGTCATCACTGGTTAAACCTCATCCTTGATTGCTTTTGAAAAGTTGGTGGTTAACTGCATTCTTAAACCACTGCAGTCCTTGGGAGCTGTTAGAGAGGGAGTTCAGGGATTTAGACCTAGAAACATTGAAGGAACATCAATGTACTTTCAAGTCAGGAAGATGTGTGACTTGGAGGGGAACTTGCCAATGGTGATGGTGTTCCCATTTATCTTCTGCCCTTGTTTTTGGAGATGAAAAAGGTCAAAGTTTGGAAGGTGTTGTTGAAGGACCCTTTGTGAGTTGTTACAGTACATCTTGTAGATGGTACATACTGCTGTTCTGGGCATTGGCAGTGAATAAAATGAATGTGGAAGATGGTGGGTAGGGTGCTAGTTGATTGGATGAAATAGATTGGGAGGAGGTTCATAGCAGCATAGACTTGCTAAGCCAAGTAGCTGTTTCAGTGCTGTGAATTTTCAGCCATTTAAGGTTATTGCGAAGATTTGTATCGTGGGTCGTGGGTGAGGTTGTTGACTTGCTCGCTCAGCTAACTGGTTATAGTTCAGATATTTCATCACCATGCTAGGTAACATCGTCAGTGCGGTCTCCGATGAAGCGATGATGATCTATTCCACTTAGTATTTATATGATCTGGTCTAAGGTGTTTTGTGTCATTTCCGCTTTTTTTTTTGCAAGGGTTTGCATATGGGGTCTAATTCCACATGTTTATTGATTGCCTTATTGGTGGACAGCGAGGCCTCTCGGAATTCCTGTACATGGTGATGAAAGATCTGAACCAAAACCAGCCAGCTCAGCGAGCAAGTCAGCAACCTTTTCAGTTATTCTCTGCCCTGTTTGTACAGATGAAGGTGAATGACCTGTATGGGGATCCCCTGTTCACAGCGGCTACACTCCATGGACTTGTCCCACTGGCTTTACGATAGCATTCAGTGGGAAACATTTGTGAAAATAAGGAATACTCACGGCAATGGGAAAGATTTCAGGAGTTGTTCATAACTCTGTTTGTTATTGTTGATGGAAAATAGAAACGAGAAAATGTGCTATTGACATTTACTCTAAGACCAGAAGAGATGTTGTAGTGGCTCTTCAGCCTTCTGTATCAATTCTAAAAGTCTAAACAGGATAGGAGTTCTGAAACTTTATTGAGTTTAAAGAGCACTCTATAAGTCTCGTAACATTGTCTGTGAAGACTGACATAATCTTTCCCCTATGTGTAGGGTGTTTGTCAAAGAGTCCTCTTGTTCCATGCTCAAAGTCACCAATACATTGTGGTCAATGCACATTGGTTCATTCAGTAATCTAATTACTGCTACATTATTTGGATCACTTTCTCTTTTCCCTGTTATTAACAGATATTGATGAATGTCAGCTTGGGATTCATATGTGTCACTTTGGGCAAAATTGTCTAAACGAGGCTGGCTCATATCGCTGTCTGGTGCGATGTGGGATTGGTTTCAAGCGGTCGGCAGAAGGAGCTCATTGTGAAGGTAATGGAAATGTGCAAGACCCAGGAGCTTAATGAAAGGCTGAGGAATCTCATCCAGGAGAGAAAACAATCAGGTTCTCCTCCTTCTATCTTCACCAACCGCTTCTCATTTCAACCCGCCGCACCCCTTCCCTCCGTCCTGCCACCCCTCAGCACATAGTCAATGTGCCAGTTTGTAACACTAGTTTGAGGACAGCTCTTTGACTGGGAGACTAATATATTTCAGACATGCCAAAGAGCATCTTTTACTGATTTGATGGTCCTCCAGTCATAGTTGATATTTGTCTCAGTGTGCTCCCTGGGCACAGACCAGAGAGCACAATCATGGTGCAGCTCAGGATGAACCCGAACAAAACCATTGCATCTCTCTCCAGACTTCTTTTGCAAAGGCACATTCCAGAAGGAAGTGCATAATGGTTTCTTTGGCAGCACAGCCATCTTGAGAACAATGTGCAAAGGAGGCAAGACTCCAGGCGGGTGGAGGTGCCTTGAGTAGATGGTGATGAGCACCTACTATTGAGTGTCTTGCTGAACCATTTCAGAGGGCAGTTAACAGTTAACCACATTGCTTTGAGTCTGGAGTCACTTATGGGCCAGACAGTTAAAGAAGGCAGATTTCTTTCCTGAACAGATGTTAGTGAACTAGATAGACATTTACAACACCTTAATAGTTTCATGATCATTATTAACGAGACTAACTTTTTAGTCCAGCATTTTTAAATCGAATTTAAAATCTCTGCCCTCTCACCAGTCGAATTTGAACTCTTGTCTTCAGCTTGCTGATCACAGTCACTAGATTGTTAATCCTATAACATTACCATGATGCTAGCATCCTCCCATGCAGTGGGAGTTACTGGATTGCTTGCTGATTAACCGAAAGGTAGATGATTGACTTTTTTTTCTTCCCCCTCCCTCCTCTGCCAGGATACTGAATCTGTTTGTAGTCTTCCCAGCACTGTCTCAGCTGAGATCAGCAAATTGAGCTCAATGTTAGGGCCCTAGAAATACAGTTGAAGCTTAGCAGCAGTTCGGGACTATAGCTACTTTTTGCATGATTTCTCTTTTTGACTTTTCCTTTTAGATATTAATGAGTGTGAGGAGTCAGCCAGCCCACCCTGTCAACAGCGCTGCCTCAATGCAGTTGGTACCTATCGATGTGGGTGTGATCCTGGTTATCAGCGCTTGGGACAGCACTGCATTGGTGAGTCTTAGAGAGGATATACTCCATAGAAACAGGGTATTCAACCCAACCAGCCTGTATGCTAGTGTTTATTCTCCACTCAAGCATCCTTTAATCTTACCCCATTTAACTCTTTGATTGTAATGCTCATTCTCTTCTTCAAATGCTTATCTATTCTCCCTAAATGAATATACACTATCCATTTCGTCCACTCCTCATTGTAAGGAGTATCATATTCTCACCACTCTTTGGGTAAAGTAGTTTCCTTTAAATTCCCTGTTGGATTTCTTGTTATTATTATATATTGATGGTCTCCAGCTACACTTTTGCCTACAAGTGGAAACATTCTCTCTGTATCAAAGCCTTTCTTAATTGTGAAGACCTGTATTAGATTTCCCCTTGGCTATCTGTTACCTATCACCTAAAAGTTGTTCTGCACCTCAACTGCAATTTATTTTTCCTCCCTAAAGAAAGCTCCCTTGAAGAAGAAGCCAATCAAGAAAAGGAATCAAAAGGTCTACAGTTAAGCAAAAAGTGGGGGTTACCAACCCTTCAGGATTACCCTGGAGTCTCCAGAAACTAAAGATTAATCCCCAGAATACTATGTACAGACATTAACAAACATGGTGTTCATTTTTCATTATCCATCACTAATTATAAATTTATTGGAAAAGGATATAAAGGTTTGACTGATTCGTTCACAGTCACATGATGCTATCACCAAAGATACATCCATGGTTGAGGTTTCTTTGTCCACAGTGACTCACTAAAGTCAATTGTACCTCCCAAGGCCATCACTCAGGCACCATCAACTCTGCAGAGGCCTGGAGAGCTGAACCTGGGATCCCATGATGTTCAGAAACCACCTTTGTTCATAATAAAGCCCAACTCAATTTGAAGAACTCTAGGTTATAGTTGTAAAGTAAGAAATATATCAGCCAATTTGCACACAGCAAGCTCCCACAAACAGCAATGTGATAATATCCAGATCACCTGTTGTAGTGATGTAGGTTGAGGGATAAATATTGGCCTGGAAACTGAGCAGCAGTCCCATGGTCTTTTTCAAATGATACTGTGAGATCTTTTTACAAGCACCTGAGAGGGAAGACAGGACCTCATCTGAAAGATGGCATGTCCTACAGGCAACACTCCCTCAATAATATGAAATAAAGAACTGCAGATGCTGGAAATCTGAAACAAAAGCAGAAATTCTGGTGAAACTCAGGTCTGGCAGCATCTGTGCAGAGAAAGCAGTGTTAATGTTTTCAGGTTCAGTGACCCTTCTTCAGAACTGACATATGTGAGCCTCCTCAAATTTTGTGCTCAAATCTCTGGACTGGGACTTGAACCCCCAACTTTTTGACAGAAGTGAGAATGCTACCCATTGAGCAGGGTTGATGTTGTGTAAAGTTAACCAGCCTTTTTAAAGCCACTGCATGTACTGAGTACTCGGGGTTTATCCTTTAAATACAGATATCAACGAGTGCAATATAAACGTGTGCCGGCCCCACCAAGAGTGCCAGAACACCGAGGGAGGATACCAATGCATAGAGAGCTGCTCTCATGGCACTATGCGATTACCCAGTGGAACCTGTGGTGGTAAGTACCTTTGCTTAAACCTCAGTCCGTAGGCTGTCTGTCAAAGGCTCATCCCTATTTACTCTGGTCTTGCCTGCAATGGTTTTTCAATCCAGTTTCTGTAAGAAGAAGTGCATGATTGCACTATTGAGAGGGTAAAAAGGAGATTTGAGAGGTTGTAGTCTGGATTAGAGTATTTTTGGAGCTATGGTGAGAGTGACAGCCCTTATCATCAAGGCCACATTTGACCAAATGTGGCATCGAGGAGCCCTAGCAAAACTGGAGTCAGTGAAAATCCAGGGGACAACTCTCCACAGATTGGAGTCATACCTGACACATAGGAAGATGGTTATTGTTGTTGGAGGTCAGTCATTTCAGCTCCAGGACATCTCTGCAGGAATCCCTCAGGACAGTGTCCCAGGTCCAACCATCTTCACTGAAGATTCTGAGACAATGCATTCCAAATTGACAACCACTTCCATCTAGAAGGACAAAGGCAACACATACATGGGACCACCATCACCTGCGAGTGTGATTTTTTTCACCCAGAGAGTGATGGGAAATTAGAACTCATTGTCTGAAAAGATGGAAGAAGCAGAAATCTTATCACATTTAAATAGCACTTGGAAATGTACATGAAGTGCTGTAACTTATGGTGTCAAGGACTGCATGCTAGTTAAGGGGTTTAGGCTGGTTACTTGTTGGCTGATGCATTAGACAATTTGGCCTTCTTCCATTTGCTTAGGAATTAAGATCTCCCAATTGTAACTTGCTGATATTGAGAAAATTAGCATTTACCATGTTGCCGCCTGATTTCCCATTCTCTACAAACTTCACTTCATCTAAACCTCTGCTGCCCATGTCTTATTTAACACCAAATCCTATCACCCATCACCCCTGTGCTCAATGACCTACATTACTTTTCAGTCTATCAGTGCTTCAATTTGGTAGGTTTCATTTTCTGTGTGCAAATCTCACCATGGTCTCACACCTCCTTATGTAAATTTTGTCTAGTCCCATAATGGAGAATTTGCCACTCCTCTAATTCTGGCTTCTTGCATATCCCCTCATTGCCCCCAGCATGGATGGTGGTGTCTCTGCATACACATTAAGGTCTCAAATTCCCTTCCTGAATCTCCTCACCTGTGTCTCCTCCTTTAAGCCTCTCCTTAAAACATCGCCCTTTGATTTGAATAGAGATAACACAGTGTGGAGCTGGAGGATCACAGCAGGCCAGGCAGCATCAGAGGAGCAGGAAATTTGACATTTCAGGTGGGACCCTTCTTCAGAAATGGGGGAGGGGGAAGGGAGCTGCAAAATAAATAGAGGAGGGATGGGGCTGGGGAAGGTAGGTGGAATGGTGATAGGTGAGTGGAGGTAGGCAGTGGTGGGGATTGGTCAGTGAGGTGGAAGGAGCAGATAGGTGGGAGAAAAGGTGGATAGGTTGTGTCAGGTCAAGGAGGCGGGGATGAGAGGGAGAGCTGGTCGTGGGATGAGACCGGGGTTGGGGAGATTTTGAAACTGGTAAAGTCCACATTGAGACCATTGGATTGTAGGTTCCCAAGGCAGAATATGAGGTGCTGCTCCTCCAGTTTCTGAGTGGCGTCATTGTGATACCGGAAGAGGCCCAGGATGGACATGTCGCCCAGGAAGTGGGAGGGGGAGTTGAAATGGTTCACAACTGGAAGGTGTTGTCATTTGTCGTGAACCGAGTGCAGGTGTTCTACAAAACGGTCTCCAGATGTGCAGGTGAACCTCTGTCTGATGTGAAAGGTTTGTTTGGTGCCTTGGATGAAGGTGAAGGGGGAGGTGTAGGGGCAGGTGTAGCACTTCCTGCAGTTGCAGGGAAAGGTACCGGGGTTGGTGGGGCTAGTGGGCAGTGTGGAGCGGGTGAGGGAGACTCGGAGAGAGCGGTCCCTACAGAAGGCATATATGGGTGGGAAGGGAAATATATCTTTGGTTGTGGGGTCGGATTGCAGGTGGCAGAAGTGGCGGAAAATGATACGTTGAATACGGAGGTTAGTGAGGTGATATGTGAGGACAGGGGAGATTCTGCCTTTGTTTTTGTTGCGGGGAAGGGATGTGAGGCCTGAGGTGCAGGAAAGGCAAGAGATGCGGTCGAGAGCATTTTCAACACCGAAGGGGAGAAGTTGCAGTCCTTGAAATAAGAGGACATCTAGGATATTCGGGAGTGGAACGCCCCATCTTGGGAGCAGATGCGGTGGAGGCGGAGGAATTGAGAGTAGGGGATGAGATTCTTGCAGGAAGGTGGGTGAGAGGAGGTGTAGTCTAGGTAGCTGTGGGAGTCAGTGGCTTGAAATAGATGTCGGTTTCGAGGCAGTTACCAGAGATGGAGACAGAGAGGTCCAGGGTCCAGAGATTTGAGGTTGGGGTGAAAGGTGTTAGTAAAGTTGATGAACTGTTCAAGCTCCTTCTGGGAGCATGAGGCAGCGCTGATACAGTCATCGATGTAGCGGAGGAAGAGGTGGGGGTAATTCCAGTGTTGTCTGTTGGAAGAGAGGGACCAGCTCACCTTCTCATCTCCGCCTCCTTGACCTGACACATCTTTCCATCTTCTCTCCCACCTATCCAATCCTCCCGCCTCACTGACCAATCCCCACCGCTGCCTACCTGCAATCACCTGTCACCATCCCATCTACCTTCCCCAGCCCCACCCCTCCTCTCTCATTTATTTCGGAGCATCCTTCCCCCTCATCCATTTCCGAAGAAGGGTCCTGACCCAAAACGTCAACTTTCTGCCTGGCCTGCAGTGTTCCTCCAGCTCCACACTGTGTTATCTCTGACTCCAGCATCGGCAGTTTTTACTGTCCTTTTGACTTGAATGTTTGGTCAGCAATCCTACATATGTAGGATTAGCTTCAGTATAAATCTGAAAAATTTAACAGTCTTGTATGAGATTGTATCCAAGACATTGCTTGAAGAGTGCTGCATTTGACCATTGACCTGTTACCATTTGATTATTTGCCTCTCTCCCTTTTTGATTTGGACTTCTACTTTTCAAAACCTCTTGTTGCACTTTCTTTTCATAGATGTTGACGAGTGTAAAACAGGGAACCACCTGTGTCGATATAATCAGAAGTGTGTGAACACAGCAGGAAGTTACCACTGCAGCTGTCCTCGTGGATATCGCTCACAGGGCGTGGGAAGACCATGTTTAGGTAAGTGGCAGAGGGAGTGTTGGGGTGCTCAGATGGGTGAGAGGAAGAATAGAGGATGGAAGCTCTGAAAAGCCATAACCTTCGTTGACTTGCTGCAGTTTGTACCATCCTCTATCCAGACCCAAGAGAAAGGTGTCACCAACATTCTTTCTAGGTTAGGGAACATACTATGTAGGGAACAAACAGGCCACACAAAGGCAGCAAGTCCTTTAAGATGTGTTCATGGCCAGCCATGCAACTATCTTAAAGGGACCATGTTGTGCAAAAAAAGGGGTTTGCACAGCAGAAAGAAGTTAAAGGAAGTGCCAGCCACTATCAAGGCACACTGTCATTTCTGATTGTGAATTGGGTGTAAAGTGGCATTAGTGAAGGCCTGGAGTAAACTGCTCTGTTTAAAGTGTGTTGCCAACCTTCAATGGATGATTTACTGGAGAAATTGTCACTTCACATATGTACCTCAAAACATGTCCACCCCCTCTTCACCCTGTATTGGTCATCACTGCCTTCCTACACCAACCAGGAAATCAATAAACTCTTCAATATCTGATTGGGTGATTCTTGACTCTACGTCAAGCCACACAATAATTTTACTCCTGAATTGCTGGAATAACAAAGTACAGTACAGCAAAGGAACAGACTCTTTGGCCCACCAAGCCTGTGCTGACACGTGACGTCTTTTCTAAACTAAAAACCTTTTACCTACAGGTGACCTGTATCCCACTATTCCCTGCCTATACATTTGTCTATAAATCCATTAGATCACATCCATTGCTCTGCCCTCAGCAGTCATCTTTGTAACTTCCTCAAAAATCTCAATCAAGTTTTTCATGACCTCCCCATGCAAAGCAATGCTTGCCTGTCGATAGTAGATACATAATTCTCCAAATGTGAATAAATCCTGTCCCTAAGATAAACAGGATGATTAAGAAGGTGTTTGGCATGCTTGCCTTTATTGCTCAAACCTTTGGCTATAGGAGTTGGGGTATCTTGTTGAGGTTATATACAGGACGTTGATGAGGCCTCTTGCCCTGTTATAGGAAGGATATTATTAAACTGTGGAAGGTTCAGAAAAAATTTACCAGGATGTTGCCGGGAATGGAGGGTTTGAGTTATAAAAATAGGCTGGATAGGCTGGACTTTTCACTGGAGTGTAGTAGGTCGACCACCTGATAGAGGTTTGTTAAATCATGAGGGTCATAAATCAGGTGAATAGCCAAGGTCTTTTCCCTAAGGTGGAGGAGTTCAAAACTAGGGGGCATATTTTTAAGATTGGAAGAGAAAGATTTAAAAAGGATATGAGGAGCAACTTTTTTACTCAGAGAGTGGTTAGTGTGTGAAATGAACTTCCAGAGGAAGTGTTGGATGCAGGTACAGTTACAACATTTTAAAAGACATTTGGATAAGTACATGAATAAGAAAGGTTTGGAGAAGTATGGGCCAAACACAGGCAAGTGGGACTAGTTTAGTTTGGGAACATGGTCAGCATGAACCAGTTGGACCGACGTATCTGTTTCCATGCTGTAGTGACTCTATGACTCTAAGAATCTTCTTCAATAATTTCCTTACCACTGATGTAAGGCTAAATGGCCTGTAATTTCCTGGATGATCCGTGTTGCCCTTCCTAAAAAAGGGGACAACATTGGCCATTCTCCAGTCCTCCAGGAACTTGCCTGTGACTCAAGAGGATACATTGATTTCATTCAAGGCCCCAGTGATTTCTTCTGTCGCCTCCCTCAGGATTCTGGGATATATCCCATCAGGTCCTGGGGACAGTCTAGTTTAATGATTTTCAAAATACCCAACACTTTAATCTTTAATTCCCAAAGACTCCAGGGCAGTCATGATGGGTTGGCAACTCTAGGATTCCAGCATTAGGTCTAATCCCTGGCAACTGAAAGGGAGAAAATGGACAAATATATTCTCCAGATATCAAATAAAGGTAATATTGACAGCAAGGCTTCCTTTAAATGGAATCCTGCTGCTGATACCTACTTGAGAATATTGTGAAATTCATTCCATGCCCTCCAGAGTGCTTTCAAGCTTCTCACAGATTTTCCCGATAGATTTCAATGGGACTCCTTTCACAGTATCAGGTCAGTCTTGTACAGTTTGCTCCTATCCATGTTCAAAGTTCAGAATGAGCAGAGAGAATGGATTCAGTGCTTAAGAACTCGCTGAAAGTGTGACTGTGATGCCTGATGTTTTCAAGATTTTTCCAATGACTAATATTTTATATGAATACATTGTGATTATACCTGTCGCTCCCCGCTCCACCCCTTCCCCTTTTGCACCAGATGTTGATGAATGCCAACTGATTCCCAAGCCCTGTGTCTACCAATGTCGAAATCTGGCTGGCAGCTACAAGTGCCTGTGTCCACCCGGAAAGCAGCTATTGGCCGACGCCAGATCCTGTGCTGAATTGGAAAAGCCTAAACTGAGCAACAGCACAATCACAAGCTTCAGACCCCAGCTAGTCTCTATCAGTCAATATAGCCACAGCGAGCAGACAAGCCAGAACCAGATTAACCCCTTCTACACCTGGTTGGGTTGGAAGATGAACCGGGAATTTGAGACACAAGTCAACAAGAAGTCCTGTCCTGCTGGATACAGAAAGAGGAATGGGCTGTGTACAGGTGAGTAATGCTTTCAACAAAAAATTCTGAGTTTTAGTTGAAGTGTGTAATATCCTAAAAGGTGCTGACAAGGTGGACGTGGAAAGGATGTTTTCTTCAGTGGGTCAGTCAGAACTGAAGGGTACTATTTTAAAATTAGTTGTCAGCGTTTTAGGGCTGAGATGAGGGGAAGTGGGGTCATCAAATATTTGGCAGAGGTGAATAGATTCTTGTTAGGTAAGGAAATTGAAGTTTATTGGGGATTGATCAGAATACGGAATTAAAACATAAACAGATCAGCCATGATCTTACTGAATGATGAAGCAGGCTTGAGGGGCCTACAACTGAGCCTATTTTGTATCTTTGTATAATTTGTGGTTTTTCCAATTGATTGTCCTTAGTATAATTTCATATCTGAACACCAGCACATCTTGGGATTAACTATTGACCAGAAACTGAACTGGATCACCCATATAAATACTGTGGCTGCAGTCTAACTCAGAGACTGAGAATTCTATGGTGACTACCTAACCGCCTGACTCCACACACTAACAAAATGTTTAGCATCTTCAAAATGCTTTGCAGCAACTCACCAAGGCTTCTCCGACAAGACCTTCAAAACCTACAATCTGTATCACGTTGAAGGACAAGGACAGCAGGTGCATGGGAACATTACCATCTTCAAGTTCCTCTCCTAGCTGCAGACAAGCCTGACTTGGAATAAATCACTCTTCCTTCACTGCCACTGATCAATAACCTAACTGTGGTGTACCTATACCACATGGACTTCAGCAAGTGAAGAAAGTGGTTCACCACCATATTCTCTGGGACAATTAGGGATGGTCAATAAGTGCTGGCCTACCCACAGTGGATAAATCATCATTTTTTAATAAAAAAAATCAAAGAAAATGGAAAGTAGCTTCCGGGCATTTGCAGAATTCACGACTTGTTGAGTGTGGACAAAATGTTTTGCCTTTAATGCAGGTTTATGGATACTTGATGGTAATAAAAGTATATGAAGGATGGAAGGAGGAAGGAGAGAATTGAAGAGAAAGAGAACAAGTGTAATAAAACTGAGAAGAAAAAGATTAGGATAAACAAAATTGCAAATCAAATAAAAACTGAAACAAAGCAGCAATATTCAAGAAGTCCATGTTCAGCAGAAGGAACAAAGTCAGGAACATTTCAAGAAAGCATCGTCATTACAATTCTGTCAGAAAGTTAAAAAAAGCAAGAAAATGGGAGAGAGTAAGAAAAGAGGGGGGAAAGGGTTGAGCAGTTTAAATGAAGCAACTTCTTTTCAACCAGCACTTTTATTGTCCAGTAGATGGCAACATTGTTTAAAAAACTCTATCCTTTTCAGATCACACCTGTAAATATGTGAAATCAGCAAATATTTAAATAGACTAATTAGCGGTGCAAGTAGATTAACTCCATGATTAGAGGATTATATTTGCTTTTAGTGAAGTATTAGCATGTGCCAAATTCCAGTATGCTGCACAGCATGTTGGCCATTAAAACCTTTCTAAGACCACAGAACTGTTACACCCAGGAAATATTGTCTCCACCACTGTTGTCAGCTATGGAAATGGGCCTGCCCAATATAATACCATATTGGCATTGGTGAACCACGTGGGTTTTAAAGATAATCATTCCATGGTCATGATCACTGGAACAAGCCTTCAATTCCCTATAGAGTCATTGAATTGAAATTTCACTGGGTGCCACGAACTCTCAATTCCCAAAGCATGACCCTGAACTTCTGGATTACTAGTCCAGAGACATTACCATCACACCACTAACTCCCCAGTTGCAAACCGTTTTTCTCACTCAACATGGATCCTTTACAGCTTTAGACAAGATTATTCTGGATTGAATTACGACACAGAATGTCACTGCCTCGTTTTTTTTGTTATGTACCTGTTTAGGAGAGGAACAGGATATTATAGGAATTATTATTGTATTGCCTCCTCTCCCCTCTCCCCATATACTGCTCACTTAACAAATAAATAACGTGCGTTTCAAAAGCACCATCACAACTTCAGTATTTATGGAGTGTAACCACCTTAGTACTGTACTATATCATAAGAGTTAATGCAACAAAAAAGGACAAAATGTTGATTTAGTTTCAAATTAAAATCAAGAATTGTTTACTTGATGCTGTGCCTGATTTGAGTGTACGGGGTTTTTTTTTGTTATAGATATCAATGAATGCCAGACTTGGAATTTCTGCCAGCACGATTGCAGGAACACCCAGGGCAGCTACAGTTGCATTTGTCCTCCTGGGTATCGACTGCTGCCCAATGGTAGAAACTGCCAGGGTAAGTGATGAACAATACAGAGGATGGTCTCTCTATGGCAATGGCTTGTTGCTTATGGTTTTATGCCATTGATAAAACAATCTCTTTCCCTATTCTCTGATTTTCTCCTGATGCTGCCAATTCCTGGTTCTTCCCAGCTGATCAGGTTAGGTTTGTATTCACTGGAGTCTAGAAGATTGTGTGGGGGGGCAGGGGGCGGTCTCAAAGAAACCTATTAAATTCTAACAGGCTGGACAGATTGGATGCAGGAAGGAAGTTCCAAATGGTGGGGAGTCCAGAAGCATGATCATTGTTTGAAGATGAAGACTAAGATGAGGAGTAACCAGAGATTAGATTGGAAGCCTGTTCATCTATGTGACTAGGATATTACATTTATAAACTGAGTAAACAGATCCAGTTCAGAATTCTTTCCATGCCCACCCCCAGTCCATTCCCACTACATTGCTGTCAATGTAATACCAATGTAGTTATGAATTTCCTAATTCCTTACACCTCTACTTGCTCTGGCTGCAATTAGAGTAATGTGGACACTTTTTAAATCCATATTTCAAAAGGGACAAAAATACTTTGGGGGGAATGTGGAAACAAGGAAAATATGAATGATAACCAGGGCTAAGGGATCAACAACATGAGAATGCAGAACTCTATTCTCTAGCTAGCAGTGGCAGTGGTCTGCCATGAGGTCAACATAGACCTTGGGATAGTGATGGAGGAGCCTAGGCTGTTTAATATAGTTCTGTGTTTTCAACTACACCAGGCTGTTACTGAACTAATCTGTGGGACAGCTGTCCCAAATTTGGGCACCACACCTCAGCACCTAGTGAGACTAGGTTTATAGAGTCAATGCCATGCCCAGGTTTGATGTTGAAGTCACAACTGAGTGAATCCATCTCATTTAGTGTTCTTTTTACAAGAAGGAGTGGGAGTTTTGGAGCGATGGGGCTATAAAGAGTCTGCAAAAGGATATAGATAAGTGAGTTAGCAAAATTTAACATATTGAGCAGAATGTGAGAAAATGTGAAGTTTTCCAATTTGGCAGGAGGAATAGAAAAGCGGAAAATTATATAAATGGAGAGAGACTGCCGAATGCCTCATTGGATTCTACATGTCTATCCAATGGATTCTACATGTCTTTGCACGTTACCACAAAAAAAATGACCATGAAGGTTTAGGAAGTAAATAGGAAGACAAATGGAATATTGGTCTTTATTGCAGCAGAGATGGAACCTAAAGGAGGAGAAGTTTTGCTAAAACAATACATAGCATTGGTGAGACTGCATCTGGAGTAATATGTACAGTTTTAATCACTTAAGGTGTGATATATTTACATTAGAAACAGTTCAGAGAATATTCACTAGGTTGATTCTTAAGATGCAGGGTGGGAAGATTGAGCAGGCTGGGGTATTAGAAAAATGAGAAGTAATGTTATTGTAACATAAGATTCTGTCAGGTCTTCACAGGCTAGATACTGAGAGGCTGTTTCCCCTATTCGAGGAAACCAAGAGCTTCAGTTTAAACAGTTTAAACATTAGACATCTCCCTTTTAAGTCCAAGATGAGAGAAATTCTTTTCTTAGGGGTGTTTGGTCTTTGGAATTCTTCCTCAGAGAGCAAAGGAGGCTGCATCAGTGAATATATTCAAGTCTGAATAAGACAGATCTTTAATTGACAAGCAAGTGAAGGGTTATGGGCCTGGTTAGGAATGTAGGGTTGAGGTCATAATCAGATTAGCCCTGAGTATTGATTGATAGCACAGCATCAATGGCCTGAACAAGATAATTCTGCTCCAATTTCTTATGATCTTAGGAATTTCATCGAGCCAGTTGCAGTTGCCATTTGTTAATGTGTTGAGCTATTTTTATCCTATTAGCTGGACATCTCTGCAATCAGTTCTGCTTCATTATTTCAGATATTGATGAATGCCAAGAACAGAATATCAAGTGTGGACTGAACCAGATGTGTTTCAACACAAGAGGCAGCCACCAATGCATAGATACCCCATGTCCAGCAAGCTACCGGAGGGGAGCCAGCCCAGGGTAGGAGGAAGAATGCAGGGTTTAATTATGAAAGTTGTTTTTCTCTTTCTTGGGCCTGAAACATACTGTTTTCTGTTTTCTTCCCATTCTCCATTTTCTAGGACTTGTTACCGCCGTTGCATCCTCCACTGTGCAGCCGCTCCCCTGATATTCCAGTACAAGCTGCTCACCCTCCCCCGGGGGATCCCAGCCAAGCATGACGTGATCCGACTCTCGGCATTCTCAGAGCGTGGCGTACTACAGAGCAGGACCAACTTCACCGCCATCGAGCAGGATGTGGCTAGCCCCTTCGTCGTTCGCACTGACGAGGGCCGTGGGATTGTATACACCCTGCGCCCACTGGTGGAACCCGGGGTGTACCACCTGAAAGTGCATGCTACCACCTTCAGTGAACAGGGGCCACTGAAGTACCAGAGTGTATTTGTCATTGTCATTGCTGTGTCCCCGTACCCTTATTAAGGTTAACAACAGCTTCTACATGGAGGAATGTGTTGTAGCCTAATGTGTTGTTGCAAATTTCTATTCTTTAACTACATTGCAAAAGAAGTGTTTATTTTCTTTTCTCCAAAAGACTCAGCTATTTCACCTAGCGACAATGACTTCCCAAGTCTTCAAAGCTCCACACTTTTCTTGCTACATGGATACCTCATGCTCATAGTTACAGATCAATATTTAAACCCCGAGGTGGAATTGAATTCTGTAAATCTGCGAATGGTGGGGGTTAACACAATGAGTGCCAACATTATTGTTCAAAAGAAACACCAGAGTTTATCTTACAATGTCCTACGGTTAGACACCAAGTCTGTATGTGACTGCAGTCCACACAACTTACTCTTAATGCGCATTGAGTAGTCTGGCAAAGGCATTACCAGTTCAGATGCTGTAGTTTGCAAATGTGCCCCCCTCAATCCTCACTTTGACTAGGACTGAATTAGGATAACAATAAGGAAGAGCTGCAGGATGTGCTGCCATTTGAAAGCACTGAGCGCCATCTCCTCAGACTAATCCAAGAGCTGACAAGGAGCATCTCAATTCTGACAAGTGTCCAGTGGACAAGGATAACTGATGCCTTTGCAAACAAGGTATTGAGTATATTTAACAGGTACGCTGTCTTCTTAGCATTCAGTGGGGTAGAACGCTGGACAGGATGGACTCCCCAGAGGCTTGCTATCCATTTTATGGGAGAATTTGGTGTCTTTGTCAAACTGCGGTTGAGTTTAAGTACGAGCCAAACAAGTCCTGACAAACATTTAATGTTCTCAATTTGACATGCCAATCTGTCACTGCTTTCCAAAGGGACTTGCTTTAAAAAAATTCCAAGGTTATCCCTTTTTCTTGATTTGGCATTTAACCAAAGGGTACTCTGTACATTGCAATGGAAGTATTGGTGTGTCCTTGTCCACTTGCTATTTACATCACTGAAAAAGTTATAAATGAGGTATGGATTCATCATATCCATGGCCTTTTATCACACAGGAAATAACTGGCACAGATTCTCTGGTAATTTCCCACTCCGCGTTCCTCAGTTTGATGTTCAACCATTCAACATCTTGACTGCTCCCACTGGAATTCTACCCCCTTATCTGGTCTTCCTTTCAGTCATTAATACTTTTAAAATCTACTTTTTCATTGCACTTTCAGTCAACTCTCCTGTGAGCTCTGTCACTTAGTTGATGTCCTCCTAAATCCTTTACATTCAGTCTCCCTTTTCTACTCTGCTATTAGGACCACCTCACAGATATCACACCACTTCCTGCCTCAGTATCCTAGCCTTGTACTTACTGACATCTCAATGGAGCTTCACCGTGGTGTGTGGACCTCACTGTTCACACTCAGGTTGAAAGAGCTCAGAGGCTGCAACTGTGATTGAAAGGCCAAACAAAACTATGTTCTTTTTGTAGGAGTCATTGTCGATATGTAAGTTTAATGATTCTCACTCTTGAACCAACTGCCACACATATTGTAACCACTGAGGTATCTGAACGTGTTGTGCTGAATTATGAGATCCACTGTCCAAAAAGAGAATTATGACAGATTGATCAGAGTTCTGTGTCAAGCAGCTGTGATTTTTATTGTAAAACAGTGCCACAAATTCTGGGTAAAAAGTTTTTTGCCCCTATTTGTTTGTCCTTGTGGCAGGGTCTTAACATGTTCAGGGAAACATTAAAATGAGGAATTAAGGAAATAAACTTTTAAAATGTGACCCGACTTCTGTTTCAGAAAGTAGTCTGGATGTCACCTTATAAGACCGTTCACACACTCACGACAACACAATTCCAAAACAACACGTTTACCTGAATTTAACCTGGTGGTCACACATTGTTCCTAAGTGGATCAAGCAGCTACTAGATCTGGTCAACAGTGTGGATAGACTAATTGGCCAGGTTCAACAAGACCTCACCATATATTTCTGTCAATCCATCTGTAAATTAACATGAAAAAAAAATTTCCATTTCTATAGGACCAGAGGACAGCCTAAAATATTTCACAGGTAATGTTCTCCAGCATCTGCAGTCCCTACTATCACAGGTAATGGGTTGCTTTCAGAAATAGCATTTGACAATGGTGCAGTGGTAGTTTCTGTATGGAAGGCATGTTACAAACATGGCTAAAGAGGTTGATTATCAATCTGCGCTTGTGATAAGAGCTGGAATGTTTCATGCTCAACTAGAACCATGTGATAACTGCAGCACATTATGCTTGCCCACGTTATGAAACCATGCACTTGTTGTTAACATGACCAAGTACCATTCTCGTTTGGAGACACTGCCCCACGCACATTTTTGGAAATGTAGTTATTGTTTTAATGTTACAACAACTGTCTTTGTGAGTTAGAGAGACTAATGTAAAGAAATAATGTCCTTTATTACCATGCAGGATAGCACTATTGTGGTTTTGGGACACTAATGGTAACTTGTGCCCTAAGATTAGACTTGTTCTTGCAGGCATGCTATAAGCCTAATTGTACAGTTAATTTGTGTGTAGTATTTATTGTACAGGACAAATCCAGAAATGCTGTGGTTGTGAGTTTACCAAGGACAACTCTCCCAGGTTTAAAGATGATCTCATTTAAAAATGTAAGATTAACAGAGAATAAAAGCAAATTGCTGCAAATGCTGGAAATCTGAAACAAACACAAAGAATGCTGAAGAAACTCAACAGTTCTGGCAGTTTTGTGGAGAGAAAAGCAGAGTTAACATTTTGAGCCCAGTATGACTCTTCTTCAGAACTGAAAGGATTTAGTAAATAGGTTCTTCTTTTATACTTTTGGTAAAAGAAGAGGAGGAGCAAGAGAGGAGATGGTATAGAGACCCAATGCAAAAGACATTAGGGTTAGAGTCATACAGCATAGAAACAGGCCCTTCAGTCCACCTTGTCTGTGTTTATCAATGAACACCATACTAATCCCATTTACCTGCACATGGTTTAAGTGCTCATCCAGATGCTTCTTAAATGTTGCAAGAGTACTTGCCTCCACCACTCTCTCAGGCAGCAGGTACCATATTTCTACCACCCTGTGAGTGAAAACAATTTTCCTCAGATCTCCTCTAAACCACTTTCTCCTCACCTTAAACTTATGCCCTCTGGTCCTAGTTTTGCCTGCCATTGGGAAGAGATTCTCACTATCTAATTCTCACGGTGTTATGCTCTACACCCTGGCTAATGAAGGCAAGCATCCCATATGCTTACTTCACCACCCTGTATACCCTTCCCTTATTGGAATTCCAAATGCATCACCTCACACTTCTTGAGAACCTCACCATCTGAACTGAAACCCCCAGCTGCAATGTCCTTCTACTCTGTGAATAAAGATGAAAAATATTCATTTAAGACCTCATGCGTGTACACTAGCTGCACGCACAGGTTGCCCCTTTGGTTTCTAATAGATCCCACTCCTTCTTGGTAATCATTTTACTCTTAATATACTTATAAAAAGCCTTGAGGTTTTCCTTGATCTGCTATTTCATGGTCCGTCTTTCCCCCTTCCTAATTTCCTTTTTAAGCAACCTCCTACACTCTATATTGTAGAAGGGCCTCCCATGTTTTTAATGTGCTGTGCCTGTCGTAAGTTTCCTTCTTTTTGGAGAAAGAAAAAGATGTAAAAAAAATTTAGATTAAGGTATGAAAGGAAGAAAGGTAATCAAGAGTCAAATACAACTTTGGCGGGGGAAGAGAGAAGTTAAGAAAATTGGAGAACAGACAGTTTCTGAAGTTATTGAATTCAGTATTGAGACCTTGAAGCTGTAAAATGCCTAAGCAGAAAATGAGGTATTGTTTCTCGAGCTTGTGTTGTGCTCCACCAGAACATTGCAGCAAGCCCAGAACAGAAATATTAGCATGAGAACAAGCTGATTTATTGAAATGGCGTGCAACTGGGAGGTGAAGGTCATTCCTATGGACAGAGTGGCGATGTTCTGCAAAGCATTTGACCAGTCTACATTTGATCTTGTCTGTGTAAGTGGGACTGCATTGTGAGAACTGAATACAGTAGACTAGGTTGAAAGAAGTAGAAATGAAATGCTGCTTCACCTGGAAGGTGTGTTTGGGACCTTGGACAATGACGATTAACAGAGAGCCTGGCAAAGTCAATGATGAGAGGCTGTTTTCACACCTGGTTGAAGCAATTAGAAATTAGGGGGTAGAGTCTCTGGATAAAGTGGTTGGCCATTTAGCATTGTAAAAATAAATTTCTTCCCCCAGAAGGTCGTGACCTAAGATTAGGCCTGATATTGAAGGCATGCTACTTCACGGAGCTCAGTCAATGTATTCAAGGCAAAGATTGATAAATTTTTGAGAATAAAGGGATATAGGGATAGGAGGTGAAGGTGGAGTTGAGGTAAATTATCAGCCGTGATCATTGTGTATGGCTCAGCAGTGTTGAGAATAGTGATCATTGCACCTAACCACATATAGAATTCACTCTTACTAACCTGAATTGACCGATTCAAAGAACCATAATTTTACTCAGTTCTGTTTGGTATTAAGTGAGAAACTTTTGTTTGACTTTGTGGAAGCTAGGGAATAGATTGCTGGGCCCCTTGCTGAGATATTTGTGTCATTGACAACCACAGGTGAGGTGCCGGAAGGCTGGAGGGTGGCTAATGTGGTGCTGTTACTTAAGAAAGACGGAATGGAAAAGCCAGGGAACTATAGACTGGTGAGCCTGACATAAGTAGTGGGTAAGTTGTTGGAGGGGATTCTGAGGAACAGGAGTTACATGTATTTGGAAAGGCAAAGACTGATTAGGAATAGTCAACATGGCTTTTTGAGTGGGAAATTTGTGTCTGACTAACTTGATTCAGAGATAGTAAGAACTGCAGATGTTGGAGAATCTGAGATAACAAGGTGTAGAGCTGGATGAACACAGCAGGCCAAGCAGCATCAGAGGAGCAGGAAAGCTGACGTTTCGGGCCTAAACCCGTAGGAGGTATGGTTAGTAAGTTTGCTGATGACACCAAAATTGATGGTGTAGTGGACAGTAAGAAGATTATCTCAAAGTACAACAGGACCTTGATCAGATGGGTGAATGGGCCAAGGAGTGGTAGATGGAATTCAATTTAGATAAAAGTGAGATGTTGCATTTTGGTAAGGCAGGACTTAAACAGTGAATGGTAAGGTTCTAGGGAGTTTTGCACAACAAAGAGACCTAGGGGACAGGTGCATGGCACCTTAAAAGTCGAGTAGCGGGTGGTGAAAAAGGCCTTTGTCACGCTTGCATTCATTCATCAGTACATTTAGGAGTTGGGATGTTATGCTGCAGCTATAGGACACTGCATTCATTTTTGGTCTCCCTGCTTTAAAGAAAGATGTTGTAAAACTTGAAAGGGTTCAGAAAAGATTTACAAGGATGTTGCTGGGATTGGAGGGTTTGAGCTATAGAGAGATGCTGAAAGTTTTTGAGAGGATTTGTAGCTCGAGTTATGGATGAGGTTGTAGACTTGCTTGCCGAGCCAGCGTGTTTCATAACAAATGTTTCATCACCCTGCTAGGTCCAGAAACCCGGAATTGCACAAAGCAGAACAGGAGCACTTAAACAGAGTTTTTAAAAGGAATGGATGCCCAAAGAGCACAATCCACCGTTACCTCCGTGACAGACCACAACAAGAAGACACAACATGGCCAGACACACTAGTCACCCTACTGTACATCAGAGACATGTCAAAGATGACCACAAGACTACTCGGACCCCTAGGTATCAGGGTAGCCCACAAACCAACAACCACCCTGTGACAGCTACTGACGAACGTAAAGGATCCCATACCCACAGCCACTAAAACTAATGTAAATACCATGCAAGGACTGTGAAAAACATTACATAGGCCAATTTGGAAGAAAACTTACAATAAGGATACATGAACACCAACTAGCCACCAAGAGACATGACCAATTCTCACTGGTCTCAATACACATGGACAAAGAAGGACACAAATTCTATTGGGACAACAGATACATAATAGCACAAGCCAAACAGAGACATGCCAGGGAATTCCTGGAGGCCTGGCACTCCAACCGGAATTCCATCAACAAGCATATTGAACTGGACCCGATAAAGAAACCACTGAAAAACAGAACTGGAAGTGATGCCAACTACCCCAGCAAACCGAGGCATATAAATAACAGGCAGGACAGAACACCACCACTTCACCAGAGGTGCATTGATGATGTTCCCTGGCAGGGTGACAAAACATCTGCAATCAAACACACCGGCTCAGCGAGCAGGGCTACAACCTCAGAGAGATGCTGATTAGATGGGATTGTTTTCCCTGGAGCATCGGAGGCTGAGGGGTGGCCTAATAGAGGTTTATAAAATTATGAGCGGTATGCATAGGGTAAATAGCCAAGGTCTTTTTCCCAGGGTAGGTAAATCCAAAATATGAGGGACAACAAGGTGCAGAGCTGGATGAACACAGCAGGCCAAGCAGCATCATAGGAGCAGAAAGGCTGACGTTTCGGGCCTAGACCCTTCATCAGAAA